ATAGTTTCCGCGGGTGAAATGTGGATTCGCTGTTGAATCCCAAAATTTCATTGTGAAGCAAAGGGGGCAATTACAATGTTCGAGACATACACAGCGGAATACAATGTGACTTCAGTAGCGGTGGCCTTAAATATCTCCCAGGCTTACATTGTGAAATGACAGAGGGTGACGCATGCTCACCCCCAGACACAGTGGTGGCCACACATTTTAAATGCTATTATCAGTAGGCTAGGACCACGCGTTTCCGTTACTGTCAACTAAAACATTATTTGTCTAGACTCTGTTTTATTAAAAAATAGTCTTTTCAGCTGGAATTACAGCTAACTATTCTGTGTGCCACCATTTCGCCGGTTCCTTTGTTCCGTATCCTGCCAGGATGTGATCCCGTGGGCTCTACACATATCAGTGAGTCATTGTGCTCTGCATTATTGAATCTTCAGCTGTCACATTTGACAAAGCAATCATCTGCTTTATGCTTCTTCTTTTTTAACCGTCTTTATATACCACAGTAAATCTTGTTCAACTCATCTAATTATCATGTTATTTATCACCTTCCTCATTTTTCCCCTTGTTTTTGTAGGGATTGGTTGTGCAGAACGAAGAAAATCACTTGAATTTGACATCACCTTTCCCTTAGTGGCTAGCATATCTCAGGCAACTTCAGGTAGCATTACACCCCGCTACCGTCCATTTATTGTATAACTTACTAAACAGTTCTTCTGTTCACACTCAGTGTAGATTTATTTCTTCAGTTAAAGTATCCTCGTTCATGTGCAATTTTTCAAATATACATTCACTAAGAAATCATGATTCTCTTGTAACAGTTCATAAGTATGTCTGAATACGGTGCGCCGGCAGGGGGTCGAACCTCGGACCATATGCATGGTCGGCGAGAGTCCTAACCACTGTCACGACGAATGTAGTTACCGGCCCAGAAATAAACACAAAAAACATGGTACCTACATGCTTGACGCTTTCGGGAATGATATTTTGTCAAATCAGCACACTTATCATTTCGAAATGAGATTTGTATCAAACGAAACTGTGAAGTTTGCTTCATCGTTTATTAGTGATAGTTTTATTTCGCACAGTTTAAGCAACAGGTCACACCGAAGTTTAATCGAATAACTCACCGAAACAACTGGCTGAGTTTTTGTCATGTTATTACGCCCCTGAAAATGACATCCTTCTCATATAAATATTTCATTCATATGAAAATTCACATCATTATTAGATTAAAAAATATTACAACTCGAGTGGGCAAATAATGCTTATCGTAAAAACGAAACTTAAAATTTATTGGTCATATAAGCAGTAACATCAGGCTACCACTTGGCCCTCTGCATTCCTGAAATCTGTGAAGTTGATCAGGATTCACTGATTTCTTAAAAGGGATTATGCAGTGGTGATTGAAACATGGAGTGGTGGTGAGTTCGTAGTATTCGTCCCATCTAAACGTCTTCAGGACTTTTCCTCTGTTCCTCCATTGGGGTAGTGCGAAATACATAAAGAAAATTCTGTGTGACTTCAAGTTCATTCTCTCCCCTTGTCTTCAACAAAGCTTTTCCAGAGGTGTCAACAAATATTTTTGCCTGAAATTTGAACTGAGGATGCATTGTTGTGTTCTGACGTCTTGTACGTCGTTTTCTTCACAAAGTTCCCGGAACACTCGCGAGGTAAATGCACTGACACTGTCAGTTACGGTGCATCCTGGTATGACAGCCCATGCGAAGATTTCTCCTGGGGCTACAAGAGAAAAACCTGCTGGCATAATATCAAGAGGGGTTACCGAAGTGAGTGTGGTTAAAAATGAGTGGTGGAATGGTCACGAGTCCTTGCGACCTGCGGAGTATATGCCGCTCAGTAAAGAAGATGAGCAAGCAATATGCGAGGGAGTCTGGGAGTTCAAGACAAATGTCAAGTTGATGTATGCGCAAGAGGGATATCAAGTTCTGCATCCGCCTTTTGAATATTATTCTTCCCCGTATAAATACTGTTGGGTGACTGAATACTACTATAACTTTTCCCTTGGGTTCTGAGCGGAACACAGGGCTTCAACAACACGTCTCTTTGCTCTATTTTCTGTAGTCCTCTTTAACTGGACCAGCGATTGCCCACAGTCTCTGATCTCCTAACAAAATCCCCTCCAATCGAGCGGCGGCTTGGCGCCCAATGTCAGTCAACGAGCTCCCGAGCGCCCGCCAAAATCAATCCATTTTCTTCCATATTTTTATTGAGCCATTCGTTTTGAGTCGGTTTGTTCCTATAGTTTCCTATCGCTAATTCTTTTTAACAGGGCATTTGGTCTTCGAAATAAATAAGTAATAGGATAATAGGTTGGAGCCAACGAGGTAAGCTGTTGATAAAAATCTGCCGTATTCTGTTGGAAATGCTTTCCGTGACACGCAGCGCAAGTTTCTGACTCATATAGAAGGACCGACTGGGTGGAAATCCAAATTTTCCTATCTGTGCTGAGTGAAAAAGATTCGCAAACTGATTTCCGAATGATGATGTGCCTCGCGTCTCCAATTCTGGTTATGATATCCTCATCTATGTTGTTGTCTTTAGTTGAAAGGCTGCTTCCTAGATAAGTCAAGATAGTGACCACTTTCAAATCTGTTCCGCTGATGGTGACTGGCGCTGGTCGTTGGGTGGTTGGTTACCTTTATCACCCCGTCTTCTCTATGTTCACCGGATGTCCTGTCTTTTTCTGCCAGTCTTAGAGTTTATGTGATATTAGACATAAGTCACCCTTGAAATCCAGATCTTCTAGAGTGTTCTTATCAATCCCCCCTTACCGAAGCATGACTCATAACTCATTCCACCGTATCTGAGAATATTATCGATTATAATAGACAGCGTCGTCCTACTGTTTTCACTTTGAACGCCTTGCTGGGTTTCCCGTTCTGGATCACCTGATACTTGGCGTTTTCACATAGCCGACTGTCAAATGAAATTGATCAGGATTTGGGTCACTGCACTCCGTAGTGTTCAAGCAGTCTCCAAATTACTTCCCCTCCAAAGCCAACTGAGGCCTCTTCAGAGTATATGAAACTGAGCTGTAGATCTGGCTGTCGTTGTGTGCTTAGTTCGACTATGGTGCATAGAGTTACTATTTGGTCCCCACATGATATACTTTTCCTGGATCCAGTTTGTCCAGAGGATAGTTTCGCATCTAGTACATCTTTTAGTTTCATCAGGATAACACAACTTAACATTTTGTTTGGTATGGGTAAGAGCATTATTTCGTGCCAGTTCTTGCAGAGACCTAAGTCGACCTTCTTTAGCAGTTGGAAATGGTAGTCTCACCTCCATCAGTATGGACGTCCCTTCCCCCAAAACGTTTTGTAATAGTGGTGTCAGAATAAGCGCTCCGGTATCTAAGTCCGTTTCCAGTGTTTCAGGGTAAATTCCGTCCGGTCATGCTAACTTCCAGACTGGCTCCCAGTGGCTTGATTGTGTTCAAGATCTCTGCATTTGCTGGAAGACAGCCATCCAGTGGCAGTTCTGTGCTTACTATTGCTGTTATTTCTGGAAGACTTGCAGGTGATGGTCGATTCAAGACGTTTCGCCTGAGTTAATCTTCTCCCGGATAGAGTCCTGGTTATCTGATATAATGTTCCAAGGTATCTTTTACATGATGCCTGTTGCGCTTCAGTCTCCACTGTTTTGTAGAATTGTATTTCGTCTTTACAAGAACCCTTCTTCACTTATTTATTCAGTGCGATACACATTGAGCTTGGCTTCTAATTATGTTGTTCGTTTTGCATTGATTAATCTGTCGCCGTAAATAATTCCCCAAAATTAATGACCACAGCAATCATCACTGAACATCGGATGCAGACCCTCACTGTTTAAGTCGTCTTGTTTAGCTGAAGGCTCCCGGTCAAGCATCCTTGCCATTTGGTACTCCGTCGTGTCACGTGCGTGCACGATCACTAGCTAGTGAATCACTCAAAACGGTTTACTATTTGGTCCCGAAATATATCACGTACTTTGGTTGATCAATCTTGCCTTTTGCTTTACCTTCGGTGCACGAGAAACGAATACTATAGAAGTTGTTGGTATAAGATCTTGCGTCAGTATACTCCATAAAATTCGTGAACGTCGATACCGTCAGCCTCCGAAAATCTTTCCTTCCGCCGTCCTCATCGTTTCTATGAAATTCTAGGTGTCCGTTGAGAGCCATTCCTTTTCTTGTCACTACTTTCTGGAAAGTTTCCTTGAGTATCAACCTCAGATAATCCTAACGTTCATCCACGCAGGTTTCTTTAAAATGCCACGTAGTTTCTCCAACTTCTCTCTGATATCTGCAGTGATGGTATCTTTAGTGGTTTCGTCTTCAGGCTTTGCGTTGAAATGTGGTCTGTCCAGTTTTCCAGGGGCTTTCAGGTTGACCTTGAAGTTCCCTTGAACTAGATAGTGGTTTGAACCCACATCTTATCACCTTCTTGACTTCGTGTCCAACAGATCACGTTTCCACTTTCTTGATGACTACGAACCTGACCTATTCTCTCTTTTCCTTCTCAAAAGATCGAAACACCTCGGAGGACATAGCAGGAGAGTTCAGAAGCCGGGAAGAAATCCTATTGCTGTTGAGTACTGGTTCTCACACCGAGTTATGAACTCTTGGAACCAACTCCCAGAAGTGGTGTCTGCAACCTCAACTGATTAGTTCAAGAAGGGTTTGTACAACCACAGAAAATGACCAGAAAAGGATTAATATAGGCTTCAAGCCTTATATCCCCAACCAATAAATCTGAAGTCTAAATCTGACCTTGAGAGGTGGTAGATATTCAAAGAGTGGTTGTTATAGAAACGTACATCATTGGTTTTAGAGATGAGTGAGGAAGAAGAATCACCGAAATCCCAGAAAGTATTTATCAGTGAATTGGACTGCTATGTTGGGAAGAATATAGGAAAAGTTTGTTGAAGTGCATTTCTAATTGCTATGATAAACGAAGTATTTAGCAACGCAAATTCCTGGTGTTGGAGTTGACGAAACATTTCAAGAAGTGGATATATCAGCCGATAAACAGTGGGAACCGAATGGACCTCCTCCACCCAAGAAAAACTGTTTCCTAATAAGTGGAACCCTTCGTTACACGTCGTCAAGCAAACCGAAATTCGCAAAAGAAATTTTAAATGTGACTAAAAAATTGATTTGGAACTAACATTTATGTATTTTGGCAGTATGAGGAACGTCAGAGATTTCTCGAACACCTACTAGAATTTGATGCCATTATATATGATATAACCGAGAATCCTGAGCAAATAGAAGAAGTTTTATGGCTTGTGGAATCTTTGGAACAGAGGTCAGAAGAATTTGTTACGCAGAAAAAATTCTTCTTGATCAGCAACCTAATGAGCTGGCCCATGACTAAGCCAAGTGATCCGGTTAGTTGAGTAGCAAGCATGTTTTTTCCTCAAAATAATGGTTCATTCTAGTCGTAAAGGCTTAGTACTAACCACTGTACTTCAATAAAGATAATTTATTGCTTTGACTGCCTGTAACTTTAGGAAATCTGTGCATTTGTGCTGCAGAATAGCATTTTTTATCTAAAGCATTTAAGCACATAATGGGTGCTGTTCTCTTGCATAAACTAGTCCATAATTATCCCATTAATTCTCTAATTGTTCTGCGAGTCAGTAAAGATATAAAAATTTTCAAATTTTAACCACATATGCAAAGGATTTATCTCTTGTCATTTTACTAATATTGACTTCTATTTTGTGAAGTTATTCTTAATTGTAAATTATTTTCGTTCGTACTCTGCAGTGTAAAAGACTAATGAATGAATGTGTTACATGCCATATTTTGGTTCGGTGTTTCAGTTTGGGAATTGGTTTTATAGGCAACCCACGAATCAATGCAAAATGTTGCCGATTCTTCTGAACAAAGAGGAAATACCACGATCTAGGCTTATTGGTGTTTTCGGCATTAAACGCCTACTTCTGTTACTCTTGTGCTCAGCTGTTATAGTCAGAAATAAAGCAAGTACAGTTTGTTGAAATGTCGTAAAGAATCTTATCAGTGTGATTATAATCTTTTCAAAGAGTCGTACTGTAACTAAGGAAGCTTTTCAAAAACACTTATTGATGCAAGTTGTTGCTGCATAATAGAGATAAAGACTGATTACTGAATTTTGACATTTGCTATGATGCTCAATGTTTTTCATACATGTGTGTATATGACCAACGATTGATGGCTATAGACACTTGATAGTTGAGGAAGGTTTCTTGGTATCTGGTGTGCATTGGTGACATCAAAAATTATTTTTCTGCGAAAGACAACTTCTCTCATGGTCATAAATAACTGTCCTGTAACTAGCTTGTTAATGGATAACATTCTTGATAAATACGTCAATGATTGTGGAGAGAATAATAGTACTAAATTATGTTAATTATTTGCATAAGCTGTATTCTTCAGGATCTGACCGTTTTTAAAGCTCCCCCGTTCCTTTATACTCTACCACTGCTTGGACTTTTTGGATTTTACTGTTGACCTTATTTTTATCAGTTTTAAAATTTCGCCTACAGTTTACTAGTTAACTACTCATAATTATGACATGCATATGTGGCAGTGTAACTAATATAATGTCTCCTAAAGTGTAGTCAATACTGATCAAGTGAGAATATTTCATGGTTCTAGAAGGTATTTCAACCTGACTGTGAGCTGTCTACACATTCAATTTGACAGTTATCAACTATATATATATATATATATATATATAGTAGGAGGGTGATTTAAAAGCACACAGAATCTCCATTGTTAAAGTCGATTAAAAATAATTCTATTGAAGTCATTAAATGATATGGGCAGAAAAACTGCTGTGTGACCATTCAGTTTTGTGAAGAAAATATTAAAAGGACAGCAAATCTTCACATCGTAGTTGCATGCCTGATTTATCATTATAGAAACGAGGATAACAGTCGTTAAATACTGATATTACACCTCAAACCCGTAAATATGCAATGACTAAACCCACTGTGGTGGTGTGATACAGACAAAGTGTTCCAACGGAATTTTATTCTCACAGTAAGAATTATTGTACTAGTTGGTGTTAACGTCTGAATATTATTCCCGTAGTTCAGTACTGAGTTAGCAACAGAATACCACGTATATTTGAACATTCTGTTTCATGTTGTTTAATGTAAACCAAAATCACACGCTTAGTAATTGGTTAAAGAATATAAACTGTGTATAGATAAACAGCGGTCTGATCACTTAAAAATATAACTTTGCCTCCGTGTTTTGCTTCCTGCTGTTACACCACTGCTTAATTTTTATTAATCTAGTAGGGTCTAGAGTTGTGTTTCTGTTTATATTTTTCTTTTTGATGGGAAGTCTTCAGAAAACAGGCCACGTCGATAATTATTGGAATAAATAAATTTCTACGCTTTCTTACCTTAGACTAAGAGTGTGATGTTCTCTGAAACTAAGTACGTTACATTATTCTTTTAAGAAAACGGTTTGAATCACCTTATTTCTGATACTGTTTGAGGAAACGACTCATAACCTCTCGATTTACGAATTTAAAACAAGCAACAAAGGTCAGTAAAGCAGGTTGATTTAGTGAATTCATCAAATTTCGGTAGAACTCCTCTACAGCTGAATACTCTACATACACGGATATATACACACTATTGAAATTACACTGGGAGATAGAAGACTGATAAGCAAATAAACTACGCCAATATTGTTATTAACTACTAATTTAAAATATTCTGTGTATATAAACATATATATATAATTGTAGAGCCTGGAAGAGGAATTTATCGAAAAGAATATTCTTTGCTCGATTATTTTGTATTTTATAGATGTCTGAATGAATATTTTCGCTACATTGAATTACGGAATATACACATTGGGTCATAGGAGTTAATAAAAAAGACAATTGCAGCGAAGAAAATTTTCTTTTCGACGAAGTCATCATCTAGGCTGTACATTCGTGTATTTATATCAAATGGATAGGAAAGTTCCAGAATAATTTCTGGTTAGGGGTCAAATTAATAAAAAATTACAATTAGGAATTAAAATGACATAACAAACAGGGGGGATGGGTAAAACTCGAACAAAGTAGCATTATAATAACTAAGAATTGATAGTATCGAAAATTCCCATATTATGAATTATTATTATTGACTTTTAATAACTAAGAAGATTGACATTGTGCAATTGGGGGTTGAAATGTAGAAATAACAAAATATACAGGATGTTTGGATAAAAAACTAATATGATGAATAATTGTTTATGCAATCAGGGATTAAATATATAGAAATAGTAAAATGGCAAAATAAACAGGAAGAGTGGATATGAAAATATGGTAGTCTAAATAGGGATTAAGAAAACTTAAAATAACATGAATAAACAGGAAGTTTAGATAAGAAAGGCGATTGGATGGTCATTATTAAAAAAATTACCTGTTTACGATGGCCATGGCAGGGACAGGGGTTGGACGTATTTCTTTTGGATACAAAGTGTGGGTTTGAGCTTTTGGATAGCTGACGCCTCAGCTATGTCCAGATGTCTTGATTTGACTCCCTTTGATAGGTTTGATTGAATTTTGTATATTACTTTGAAGGACTTTTCGAAAGGCGCTGAATGTCCTGAGTTGACCAGATGTTCTGTCACTGAACTGTATACACGTTTTCGGTCTCCTTTTACTAGCCAGGCTGGGTAGTGTTCGCGAGCGCGTTTTTCAAGTCGGCGCTGGTCGCGCATTATTCATCATATTAGTTTTTTATCCAAACATCCTGTATATTTTGTTATTTCTACATTTCTAACCCCCAATTGCACAATGTCAATCTTCTTAGTTATTATAATGCTACTTTGTTCGAGTTTTACCCATCCCCCCTGTTTGTTATGTCATTTTAATTCCTAATTGTAATTTTTTATTAATTTGACCCCTAACCAGAAATTATTCTGGAACTTTCCTATCCATTTGATATAAATACATTGAATTAGTCATACAGAAAGACAGGGGCGAATGTTATCCATGTCGTGTTCAGATAGGTAGGGGGAGAGGGAGTATGCGAGAGATTAAAATTAAGATAAAATGCATTACGCTTCAATTATGTAGAGAAGCTGAAGATATACACATTCCAACATCGAAATTGAGAAAATTGTTACTTTTATGTACCAAGAATGTTCAATTCCAATTCGACGGGCGTCTATTCCTATAAAATTGATGGTGTCGCTATGGGAAACCCCTCGGACCACTTTTGCAGACTTATTCTTGTCAGGCCTAGATGCTGGTACCTTGCAGCAACATATACAAAATACGGATGTATACCTAAGACATGTTGATGAGATTTTTATTGTCTGTAGAGGCAGATCAAACGCTGAAGAGATGTTGATAAAATTCAACTCATACCACTCGAATCTCGATTTCAAAATAGAACTCCCTCTCCCCTTATCTATTTGAACATGACCTCAAGAAAACATTCACTCCTGTCTTTCTGCACGACTAATTCAATGTAGTTTATTTGCTTATCAGTCTTGTATCTCCCAATGTAATTTCAAAAGTTTGCATATATCCGTGTATGTAGAGTATTCAGCTGAAGAGGAGTTCTACCGAAATTTGATGAATTCATTAAATCATCCTGCTTTATTAACCTTTGTTGCTTGTTTAAGTGATCAGTTTTCAGCTAATGAATCTGTGATGTACAGCTGATGTATTTTCTCACCAGCCTTGACACAGTGGATATTAACCTATTATAGGATATTAACAGTCTCCAATAAATTGCATTCCATTTTAATTATATTATTATTATTATTGTAACTTCATATCTACTGTTTCCTTTTTCTTTTTACACTTCTCCACAATGTTAAAGGAAGACCCAGGATTTGTGGAATCTGAATATAGACGTCGTAAACCGCATCCAAAGTTCAAAGAATATTTAGAATGCGAAAAGGCAATCTTGAGAGCAGGTAAAAAGGTGTGTGTGTGTAGATATATACAACATTAAAATGGGATAGTAAAATCCCCATATTAGTGAAAATATATTTTATATCATGAAGGCGTTAATGAAACTTTGACCTATCTGAATCTTACACCTCTAATGACTGACTGCTTAACTATGCTAAGTGAAGCAATATAGTAAGTATTGTCGAAATCAGATGTAAAATACGAGGTAAGGAAGACAAACTGGTCACTGAGTTTGTCAGCTTCACGGATACAGAAGGCCCATTTCACATATGCCAGTTTACACCGTCTCTGGAGTAGACGTGATATTCGGATATCAACCAAAAGGCGTGTGTAATGCTCATCAGTTCGCTCCATCGTCCTTTATGGCTGTGAGACCTGGCCATTTAGAGTGGAACACATGAAGAGACAAGCTGTCTTTGATCATAGGTGTCTGCGTTCTATCTCCCGTGTGAAGTGGTATAATAAGGTGAGCAATATTGAGGTTAGGCTTCAGTCGAGTGCTGGGTAAGCATTGAGAGGAAAACAATCGACGAGGCTGTGAAATTACATCGACTGAGATGGTTAGGACATGTGTTACTCATGCATGTCTAGCCATCGCCCTCCTCAACGGGCAGCGTTAGCTGATATAGGTCAGGCTAGTACCAGTCAACGAAATCTACAACAGTTAGTCTAAGCCACGTAGGAAGGTGTAGACTGCTTGACTTACTGGTTGGAGTCCTCGGGACGGTAAACGCAAATGGCTGTAGACGGTTGGTGATATGGCTGAAAATCGTTATCAGTGGCTGGTGCAGATGAATCCACTCCTTGTGACTTATAATACCCAATGAAACTATATTGTTCTTCGTTATTACTATTCCTTTGTCTCACACCTCTGTTTACTGTCTCTAACATGTATTTCTCCTACTTTCTTCTCTTGCTTTTTGTGCTACGTAGATGGAGTGTGGCGACTTGAACTGCCGCACATATGTGCAAAGTTCTATGTCAAAAACAGACAAACAGACAAGTTTGATTTTCACTAGTCCATATCATTTTAAGTCATCAACGAGACAAACTGTTACCTATCAAAGGAACAGTCAGGTGTAAAGTTGTAACGACAGAAGACAAGGGTCAGGTAACAGATTGTTCATTCAGAAAATCAACAGATATTTATCGATTTTTATGTACATTATTATCAGCGTTATTGTTAGCAGAGAAGCAACCTCTTCTGATTGGTTGTTTTCTTGCTCAAGGTTATTCTTTACTGCTTGTAAACGTTTCTTATACTGTCCGGTGATATATCTGCGAATCGTATCCGCCCACGCAAAGTCTACTGTGATTGGTTGTTGAGTTCCTCGAGGTTAGGCGTTGTTCTTGTTTCTTCTCATGACCCCGATTTGGTACGGAAACATTGACGTCAATTGCTGCCTAGCAAATTTGGCTAGCAGACAGCTCTCACCACAAAGTAACTTGCTCTATCCAACAGTACTCTATTGAAATGTATTCACACACCTTATTGAAAGAAATATCTTTAACCTGATTGAAGATCTCTATTGTTTAACACAGGTTTTTTGTAAAACAGACATTAGATTTCAAGTATTTGATAGAATCTCCCTTACATTGAACCATTTCACTTTATTACCATGTTTATTCCTACTACAAAATTCATATGAAAATTTTCTTTTACAGCATAAAAAGAAATTCATTACTTATGTATTGGCTTGTGGAGTATTTTACGGTTGTGGAGAATATATCTTTCAACACTTATTCAAAGTAAGTCTTTGATATTTATAGGTATATGTTACAGGATTTCATCATGAGCTGACATTAGTTAGAGAACCATTGGAAAACCTGGGAGTACTGGACAGCTGTTTCGTCCTAGTTTGGGACTCTTCATCAGTACTGTAACAATCAAATCCCTACAAACCAACACTTGAAAATCAATGAGATGCTCACTAGCGACTTGCCCTATTAAGGTAGGTAGTACCTGGGGTTCTAGTGAGAAGTCGTGACCAGTAGGGTGCAGCAGGTCGGGCGTGAGGACAAATACTCGCCGAAGACATTGGCTAGGGGTCACGCTATGTCATGAATTGGCAGAAGTTAGAATTCAAGGACCATTGGTCGAGTCCCAGTGGCTCAATGGTCAACGAGCTCGCCTTGTAACCAGAAGGTCCTGGGTTCGAATCCCGGTGGGTGCGTACTGATGAAGAGTCCCAAACTAGGACGAAACAGCTGTTCAGTACTCCCGGGTTTTCCAATGGTTCTCTAACTAATGTCAGCTCATGGTGAAAATCCTGTAACCAATCAAATCCCTACAAACCAACACTTGAAATAGGTATATGTGTTGTACATTATGTAAGGGCCAAGGATACTTTCCTGTTACACAATTTGAAGGAAATGGAATGGGGCTCTAAATTCGTCGGTCACTTGTTGAAAAGTGAATGGCTAAGCCAGTGTACCAGATCTGCACTCTTTACACAACGTGTTCAAAGGCATTCACACCATCAAATCTCTATCGATGTGTTAACAATCATGTACCAGAGACACAAAGAGTGAAAATCTTTGATTGGTTGATGCAAAACAGCCATGATATTGTGACATACGGCTTAAAAAGGAATAAAAAATATTACTTCCTCACATTGACAAGTAGTAAATTTATGATTGGACACTAGTCAGTAACTAGTGTAATGTGTCTAGCTATCTGTTTTGGTGCAGAATGAATTCTATCAGTCAAGCTTGCAATGTGGCCACCATGCCACTAGGTGGCTCGCCATCACGGTGCACTGTGAATTGTTGGTATTAGATGGTTGGAGGCAATCGGCCACAGGAAGCCTTGTTCGACCTAGGTTTTGTGCTAGTTGGCACTCATCAGTCAGGAAGGCGTATCTGCAACCTCGAAGGAACTCATATCCCTTCTGAGATTTGAGTGCACCGTAATGGCGAGCCACCTAGTGGCATGGTGTCTACATTGCAAGCTTGACTGATAGAATTCAGTCTGCATCGAAGATAGGACTAGACACATTACACTAGTTACTGACTAGTGTCCAATCAGAAATATCCAATCCAGTCCTACAGGAGGTCAATCGAGAGTCTGAATAGCTCATTGGTAACGTGTTTGTCTCCGACTGCAGCACTGGGTGACAACGCGGGTTCGAATCTCAGAAGAGACATGAGTTCCTTCAGGTTGCAGATACGCTTTGCTGACTGACTGATGAGTGCCAACTAGCACGAAACTTAGGTTGAGCAAGGCTTCCTGTGGCCGATTGCCTCCAACCATCTAATACCAAGTAGTAAGTTTATTTGATTCATCTTTTAGCCTATAACAATCAAATCATGTGACGATAATGGAATACAACAGACTGTAATTGATGAAATCTGAACAAGGTTAAAGTAATTCTCTGAAAGCATTTTAATTGCTTACAGTTTTTATAGTGGGAAGCAAATGAAAGTGAAGTAGTAGAGACACTAGTAATGGGCTTTATTATTACTCAGAGTTTTTGTATTGAAAATGTCTGATAGCTCAGGTTTGGAAATCTTGTTTCTTTTCGTACATTCTGTAGTTCAGTTTTGAAATGTAATTTCAGACTGCTTGAACAAACTAGTTAGAATGCCCTAAATTTTAATCTTATTTCATACTTATACGATAGGCGATGAGGTGGAGATTAATTTTGAAAGCTGAGAAATAGTAGACTTCCAACCAGTAACCTCGGAATTGCCATATTAGTAGAGCTAGGAGATTCCCTGATTTATCATTCGATATCCCCAGCTATCATATGAAGAAGGTATACTTTACTGTCGACTTTATGTTAAGTTATCTGCTTTAGTGTAAATTTGAAAGATTAGTTTTAATCGGATCAGATTGTGGAGGTGAAGCTGAAATGAAAGCTCGGTGAACTAAGGGCCTTCAAATTTTGGCGCTTTTTGAAATTTCAAAAGATTGACTATTGAACAAAGAATATTCTTTCCGATAACATCATCATCATGTTCTATATATATATGTGGTGAGAGCAAGCTGCTAGCCAATTGGTAGACATTGATCTACGCTGATTGGTAGAAATTTATCTAGGCTGATTCAACAACCGATCACAGCTGACCTAGACGGGGACAAATATGATTCGCAGACAAGTGGCTCGCATTTCCGAGAAATATCGAAAACGAGAAAGCAGAAGACTGCGTTTGTTTGCAAACAACAATCAGAAGACCGCCTTCTTTCTGCGGGCAGAAGCCTATTAGTTATATATATGTACAAGATGGAGGGCCATAACAAAAGTGACGATGTAATAAGGTGTTTATGAATTTGCAAACTCCACAGCAAGCCAGGGCAGTATCACTGGTTGGACCTATTTTTTCTGCACACAGAGCACCAGTTGTCTCAGGCGAATCGAGATAGCTTCTGCTGTTTGGAGTATGCGGTACCTAGGTGATTTTGGTAATCTGTTTGCTACCCGATCTATATTTTATGTTGAAAACGTCATTGTTGAGATTGTCTATCTCATATTTTTTTACATTTATGATAAGCATAAAAACTTCTTTTCAGGAAGCATGGTTAGCACAAAAACCCTTGCCAATTTATTTGAATGGGGAGAATATCCTACCAACAGTTCATGTGATTGATTTAGCAAGGTAAGAAGAAAGCAACTACTTTTTATTCTAGATAAGTTTTGCGATTAATATTTGCTTACTCATAAGTAGGCTAATATTTTTAAATAAATTAACGTGTGTCTGACTTGGGCACTTTGGTTGTGTATGTAATTCCATATTAATTTGTTTATTAGATATATCACTCAGTGAAACAGTATTAATGCTTACTGGATGACAAGATTTCGAACACAATTTATCACACTGTTCATAATCACATCATCAATTATAACCACACAACTTCGAAACTTCAGTTTTATATTTTTCCTTATTCCATCTTATTCGTCGTAGGGATAGTAGAATTTTCCAGATGTCCGGTTGGACAGGTGTTGAATCATACCCATTACATGTATTTTCGGCTGATTGATTCGACAAATAAAGCTTCCAATGTTATCAATCTCTCCATCCACCCTGTTACCTTAGATTTCAAAACCTGCGATCTTATCCCATCACCCTATTGTATGGTTGTGTGTAATTGCATGTAGTGCTATCTGCGGCTGAGCTATTCTCCAGATTTCTTATCTTACTAGGGTCAACTGGTCTATATTTGGCTAGGTTTTTGTGCTCTACTAGTCTGACTAACCCTGTTCTACTACTTTTGTGGTGAGAGCTGGCTGCAAGCCCAAAATGTGGGCAACAATTTACGTCAATGTTTACATCCCGAATCAGGGTCATGAGAAAAACAATAACGAAGCTTAATCTTGAGAAAATCACCAGCCAGTCACAGAGGAGTTAACGTGGGGAAATATGATTTGCGGATATATGACTTGACTTTCTAAGAAACGGTCACAAGCAGTACAGAATAACCTTCAGCATGAAAACAACCAATCAGAAGAGGTTGCTCCTCTGCTAACAATTAAGCTAATAATAATGCACATAAAATCTATAAATACCTCTTGATTTTTTCACTAAAGCATCTGTTGCCTGACCCTTGTCTTCTGTTGTTACACTTCGATCTGGGTCTTTGACCTGACAACCTTTGCAGCAGGTTATTAGACAAACTAAATTGAACTGTTCAATTGGCCTCAATGGCAGGATCCTTTAACCGACGAAGCTTGCTTCTAATTGATTTTGTGGGTAGTTTGAATGTCAATTTTATTCCTGCTACCCTATTATTCTACTACCTTTACGACAAATAGGAATGAATAGAGAAAACCATAAAACGGAAGTTTCGAAGTCGTGTGATTATAATTGATATGATTATGAAGGATAAATTGTGTTCGAAAGGTCATCATCGTGGGTAATGAGGATGTGAATCATTCACTTCATATATTTTGCAAGCTGCGCCAGATGTATTACGTTATTTTAGAACAGATTGAAAAAAGCTGCCGGCGCCAAACTGAGTTCATTCGCTACGTACAGGGATCCAGTTTCATTAACAGGATTTTAGACTTCTTAGAATTCAGTGTTGAAACATACACGGTTAATCTTATTTTTACTTTTCATTTAACTTCAAAATCTTTAGTAGCTTAAATTTTTGTAGTCACTCGCCTTATTTAGATATTTAATTCAATGTCTTTCTAATTTTTTTGACTACAACTTAACGTTTGTGTAGTGTTATTAGAAGACGGAGATTAGCTGAATAATGTGTGACGTATTTGCGCAGTACATTTCGAAAACAACAATCTGATCCCTCACGCATCTACTTGTCAAGCTTATTTATATGAAAAATGAGTAAGGTTAATTAAAGTGCACAAAATGACAAAAAAGATTTAAGAATAATTAACACAACGTTTGGTTACATAAACAGATAAAGATTCTCTAGGTAGGTTAAGAGTAATAATAAACTGTTTTTGAACACACAAGGAATGGCCAGGGGAGGGGTTTAAGTTTATGAATAGCTATAGCCTCAGCGTATTTCAATAAGCACCCTAGACCATTTCGAAATAAGCTCTCCCATTCTCACATGCATAGCGCGATTACTCTTCCCTATGTATGTGTGTCCGCACACACATTATTATTATTATTATTGTTTCTTTTAATTCCTAGAGGAACATAGGGCTTTAGCCACGCGTCTCCATTGCGTTCGGTTCTCTGCTAGAGTTTTCACCTGGCTCCAAGTCTGCTCACATGCTTTCATCTCCTCTTCACATGATCTCCTCCGAGTTTTAGCAAAATTTTAATAAATTCACTTCATTAGAAAAGTTAACTATCTGACGGAATATTATACACTTCAGTCTTACAGTTAATCTCTTTTATCTTGCATAATAATAATAATAATAAAATCGATGCCGATGTCCTTCTCCAAAAGTTCAGTATGGCTTACTCACAAATTGAATTCACATATGAAAAGGAGAAAGACAACACCTTATCATTTACAGGATTTCATCATGAGCTGACATTAGTTATAGAGCCATTGGAAAACCACCAGGGAGTACTGGACAGCTGTTCCACCCGTCCTAGTTTGGAACTCTTCACCACCAGGATTCGAACCCAGGACCTTCCGGTTAAAAGGCGAGCTCGTATACCATTAAGCCAATGGGACCCGATCCAATGGCCCATGGATTCTAACTTCAGCCAATTCACGACATAGCGCGACCCCTAACCAATGTCTTCGGCGGGTATTTGTCCTCACACCCGACCTGCTGAACCCTACTGGTCACGACTTCTCACTAGAACCGCAGGTAGCTACCTACCTGAATAGGGCAAGTCGCTAGTGAGCATCTCATTGGTACTGATGAAGAGTCCCAAACTAGGACGAAACAGCTGTCCAGTACTCCCAGGTTTTCCAATGGCTCTCTAACTAATGTCAGCTCATGATGAAATCCTGTAACCGATCAAACCCCTACAAACCAAAACTTGAATACCTTATCATTTCTTGATGTCCTGCTAACAAGAAGGCAAGATGGCAGTCAGTATTAAGAGGAGTATTTTCTGGAAGAAGTCATGGGTTGGCCAATTCATTCATTTCAGTTCGTTTGTTCCTCTTGCATGCAAACGAAATCTTATCAGTACCTTGATGGATCGTGCTAGAAAGATCTGCACAACCGACATTCTAGACGATGAAATAAGGAAAATAAAAAAAACTTTTTATACGACAACGCATACCCCGAAAAATTTGTTAAAGTCTCCATGACTAAAACATATAGAGAGAAACGCCTGTGAAAATCTGCAGAAGAAACGCACATACATGATTTTACCATTTAAAGGAGATGCAGAAACTGAATTGCACTCATCGAAACTTTGAAAAATAGTGGCTAAAACATTATTCGAAGCAACACTGTGTTTAGAATATGCTACTCGTTGTATAATTCGAATGTAGGAGAAGGATAAGCTACCGACTCTAGTCACTTCAATGTGTATTTATAAATTTAACTGTTCAAGTGGAGACAGTTACATAGGTAGAACGACTCGGTAAATCTACCGTCGCCTTCTGGAGCATTGTCCAACATGGTTAGGTAAAGGAGTTGTAAAGTCAATCAGAAGTTCCATACTGGCACACCTAGTGGATATGGAGCACAAATTGACAAAATTCAGCTTTTACAATTCTATACATGGTGCCACCTCAACTCCCTAGGTTGGTACGTCTTCGGTTGCTAGGCTTAGCTGAGGCAGTTGCCATGATAATTTTTTAGCCTAATCTCTGTGTTCAGAAAAGATTTGTTCAATCTCTCTCCCTCCCTCGGCCTTCGCCCCCAACGTAAAATAGCACTTGGATTGAGCCTCGGTGGGAGCAGCATCACTCACTGGGAAATGCAGGTGCATCCAGATGAATAGTCCCAAATTCGACAAAATGCGCGTTGTCCTGGATTTCAATGCCAGTCGTTGTAACCTCATCATAATATTACATTTTTTTATTCAGAAAAAATCAATACTAACAAACAGAGTAAATAAGGAATTCGAAATAGTGGATAGATACTATGAAAATCCATCCGTCTATGTCTTTTAAGAGGGTCATTTTAACAAAAGTTAACTAAATCGCATTCAAAATTTGCAAATTGGTGTGGTATTGTGGTGAGGGCTGGCTGCTAGCCAAAATTGGTAGATAGTAATTTGCGTCAATGTGTACGTCCCAAATATTGGTCATGAGAATAAAAAACAAAAACAAAGACTAACTCAACAACCAATCACAGTAGACTTTGCGTAGGCGGATACAATTCGCAGATAGATAATCTGAACTTCAAGAAACGGCCACAAAGAGATGAAACCACCAATCAGAAGACTGTGTTTGTTTGCTTACAATAATCTATAATAATGTACATGGAAATTTATAAATATAATTTACAGTTTACAGTTTACAATTTATTTAGGATAGTAGGCTATATGCCTGTGTTAATCCTTTCGATTTGTTGCACACAGGAGGTCCAATCTCGCCTTGAATGAATCAACGGATGGCGCTGATACGACGTGTCCCGGTAGGGAGTTCCAATGGTTCACAATTCGATGCGAAAAGAGGATCTCCAGATGCAGACGATTCGACCGTGGTTTTTGAACCTTGAGGTGATGTCCTCGCAATTGGTTGGTGCTAGAAGGAAGAAATAAATTAGATAAATGAGCTCCAAAATCATTACTTAGGATACGGTATGCTAGTATTAGGTCACCCCTAAGTCGTCTGTATGACAGTGGAAATAAACCCAGTCGACTTAACCTCTCTTCATATGAGAGGGTTGAGAAACCCTTTATTAGCTTAGTTCCTACTCTTTGCACCCTTTCTAATAAGTCTATTTCGTATTTGAAACACGGGCTTGCTGCCTGGATCCCATATTCCAAATGAGGTCTGATATAAGTCGGATATAATATACGAAATATATCAGCGTCAAAGTTCGCAAAAGCCTTGTGTATGGCCCATAATATTCGAAAACCCTTAGTGGCTGCAGCTCTACAGTTTGTTGCTGTTTTCAAGTCATGCTGCACAACCACTCCCAAGTCCTTGTACTCAGTGACCACTGGGAGAGTAATGCCATTCACTGAGTAATTGTGCACGTGACTATGAGATACATGCATAACTACACTCTTGCTTAAGTTATTCTCCTGCAAAGCAAGTTAATCACTGTCATCGTGTAAAGCCCTCCATATCTTGATGTCATCCGCAAACAGTGTGTTGATTTCCTATTTAAACGATCTGTTGCCTGACCCTTGTCTTCTGTTGTTGCAGTATGACCAGTTCAAGCAAATAGCTAGCCAGAAATCCATGGGGTTTCAACTGATGACGTCAATGTGACTGGCTAGCAAACACTACTTATTGACTAAAATGGTATCCAACTAACTACTCGTCTCAATTCATCAGTAGTATATAGTTTAAAAAGTTAAATATTTTAAACAAATATGAAAAACCAGTCATAGACACACCGTATTCATCTTATTTTTTTCTGTTCAGAGTAATTCAATGTATCATTGACAATCCACCTAGACAACGTTATATAGTTGTACGAGATGACAGCCAGTTCACTTTATCAGAGATTGTAAAAGTGAGTGTTATCAAATCACTCGTTTTTTTTTAAAAATTTTTATGCATTTTCCTTTGGGATATATTTTAGATCATAAGTTGATTAGTCATGAATAGGATAAAATACAGCTTTGCGTTTCTTGTACATTAGGTTAGTGGGTTGGCAGTCAGTCAGTCAGTCATCCTGAACAGATCTTCAGAAGTAAATTTATCGAAAGCCTAATTGGAAAGGACAATACTTACATTTTAATAGTTTTTTGTCCAAATAGCTTTAAACGCGGACTAGTCAAGACTCTGTACTATAGAGCGAGGAGAATATGCTCGATAGAGAAATTAGAGGAAGAATTTGAGTTTCTTGAAAAGAGGTTGAAGAGCAGCGGTTACCCTCAAAGGTTCATTAACAGGTATGTGCGTCGGTGGCACTCTCACCGACCATCCACATGGTGCCGACGAACACCTGATATCAATGGTTGGCCTGCAAAATTTGGGCTACCGTTATCACATGCTGAAAATTCCACACTTGTACCGAAAATACGGTTTGGAATCAAGCTATAATCAAAAAAAGTCACAAATGTAGAAGAAATCACAGTGGAGAAAAAGCCAATCTACATTCAGCTTGATTATAAAGGTGAAAATATTGCAGCAATGGTCAACAGAAGACTGAGTACGTCACTAGCCACAGCCTATCCTGCAGCTAAGCTCGTTCCCGTCTATCGAACAACTTGCTCTTTGGTGCAATCAAAAATCGATAGATATCCTTCTCATGTTAACTCCAACTGTATATACAAATTTACATGTATCTGCGGGAGCAGTTACATTGGAAGGACAGAAAGAAGGGCATATCTACGATTTTCTGAACATGTATCAAAAAGCTTATGTCTAAAGGGAACAAATGCTCTCAACAGTGACATCGCCAGGCATCTTCTTGACACGGGTGGTCATGAGGTGGACGTCGCGAAATCGTTCAAAATTAACAATAGGCAAAAGAGCTCAATTCTCCTTAAGTTTGCTGAAGCCATTTCCATCAAGCACCTGAAACCTGATTTGTGCGTTCAGAAAGAAACAGTTATCAGTCTTTCTTTGCCCTGCCTGGTAACTGGATATTTTCATCTGTCTCTTTCATCTGATTAGGTAATGCCGAAAGCTTCCATTGTGTATGATCATTATTGTTCGGAATAGTGTTTAATGTAATACATGTATATATTATTAGTGTATGCGTATATTGATTGATTGATTTTTGTTTAAAATGAACTCTGTGCAAGTATGTTAAAATTGTTTCTGTAGATATACTTAATAATGACTGTGACCTGTAAGCAGCTGATGAGAAGGCAACGAAATAAATAATGATGGTACCAGTTTATTCTGCAAAAACTGTAGTTGTCGCTTTATTCAAATTCATTAAGGGGAATAAATGTGTATGAAATTTCATGTGTTAGTTGTTATGTGACGGTTGGCAATACTGGCTGCTTGCCCAATATGAAGCAGATGGAGTAAGTTTCGACCCTGGGACCCATTAGTAGAATGTTGAGCAGTTAGGCCAATCAGACCTATCAATATTATTGGGTGTTAACCCCTAAATGATACTGACATGAAAAACAAAGCAATGTAAAGTAGTCCTTATTGAGACAGTCACATGTTAACAGAGATTGATCAGTTCACCTTGATAAAATTTAAAGAAAAAACAGAACTACAAAACAACAAAATAATAGAAATAGGTGATCAGTTCACATTCCTGTGACTTTGAAGTTTACATGATAACATTATGAATTATTAACTGATTCGAAATGTTACTCAATAACAATTACCCAAAAGAATTTATCAGAGATAATACATAGAGGAAAAGAAAGAGGGTAGAAACTGACTGAGTGACTAACTAACTGACTGGTTTCAACATAGAACTTTGCACCGATGTGCAGCAGTTCGAGTCGTCACACTCCATGTATAGACTTGGCCAGTGTGTCATGAAGGGAGCTGCCTTCGCTGGCTCCATATTGAAGATCAATTTGGGTGGCCAGTCAGAAAGAATTAACAACAAGAAACTCTGGCTGGGAACAAACCAACCGAGCAAGAGCCGATCGCTCAACAAATATGTAGGAGAAAATGGAGATGGATGGATCGGGCATACATTGAGGAGGCTGCCGAATGATATCGCACGGCAGGCCCTCGAGTGGAATCCAAACGGGAAGCGATGAGTGAGTCGTCAGTGTGAGGGTGACATGGAGGAGATCGTGTGAGGAAGAGATGAGAGAGTTTGGTCAATCGTGGACCCAGCTGAAGAGGACGGTAGGAAACAGAACAAAGTGTAGTTGTGTTGTTCAAGCCCTATACTCCATTCGGAACGCAAGGGAATAATAATAATAATGAAATAATAATACTCCTTTCCGCTTATCTATTTGAACATGACGCGAAAAACATTCACACGTGTCATTCTGCATGATTAATTCAATGTCGTTTATTTGCTTATCAATCTTATATCTCCAAATGTATTTCATATATATATATATATATATATATATATGAACCCTTATTTTCTTTTTAAAAAATAAGTATTTAGTCACCCACAACTTATTAAACTTTAAAACAATTAGTCCCTTTGATAAATTTGAATAAGGCATTAAGAAGACAAATTTCGCGAGATGATATCATTTCGTAGTTTCTTTACAACCGCTTTACAACTGACATGGTTAACAATAATAAAATAAAGTTCATGACCAATCATATAGTCAAGATAGGTCAAGTAGTCCAGGGTAGGCGAAGACTGAAGTCTATTGATTTTTGTACACACAGTTTAGGGCCCGAAAAATATGCATGAGTGACACAGTGATGGATGAGTTTCGACACATATATTCAGTTTTATTAGCTAATGGTTATCCGGAAAACTTTATCACTTGTCACAGTAAATAAAGACCACATCTCAAAAAGACAGCTTCGCTACCAAAGAAAGCCATCTTTATTAACCTACCATTCAAGGGTGACCAGATTATGCAGTTGACAGCTCAAAGACTTCGGTCAGCCATCAAACGCACATTCTACGCCGCATCTCTTTTTCTCACTTGCCCAACATTTTCGATCCCTGTACCTACGATTAAAGGACGAAATTCTGTGGACTCTACTTCAAACTGTATCTACATGTCACATGCAGTTGCGGTGACACCTATATAGGTAGAACAAATAGAATGTTCCAATTGGTCGTCGAAAAGAACATGTTCCAAAATGGTTATTAAAACATATAGAAAATCCCAATGCCAGTAATCTGAATAGAAATCCATCATTATCATCATCCATTGCTAAGCACTTATTAATGTCAGGTCACAAGATCAATATTAATGACTGTTTAACAATTATTTCACATAACTCTAGTTCAAGGTTATTGAAGGTGATGGAAGCACTTTGGGGGATTAATCACATACAGCCTAAACTGTGTGTACAAAAAACAATAGACTTCAATCTTCGCCTACCATGGACAACATGACCTATCTAAATATGATTGGTCATTAGTATGTACTTTTGTGTTTTTTATTTAACTGAGTAATTGTCATGATCTTTATTTTATTATTGTTAACCATGTTAGTTGTAAAGCGGTTGGTTGTAAAGAAACTACGAAATGAGGATATCATCTCGCGAAATTTGTCTTCTAAATGCCTTATTCAAATTTATTAAACTTTGCTAGTTAATACTTCTTTTATTGTTGGGAAAAATTACCCTTTCTCAACTTTGTTTCAATATATATATTATATATTCTTGTGTTTAGTCTATCTCATCAGCTCTATCTCACGGGAATACAAAGGTATACACGAAAGAGGATATGGAAGTATATAATATACCGGTTAGTGTATTTTTCACAGAATTTTAATTTTTCAATGTAAATTCTGGTATTTTATTGCAACAGCATACAGGATGGCGAATATTTTGTTTTTCTTATAGATTACAACTCTTTAGAGAAGAAAAAAAGTGGTATTGATGGATTGTATTCATGATTCTTTATTCGACTAAAACTGACTCCTTTTAGTCTGAACGCAAGAAATCGATTTCTCTGTGTCCTACTGCATACCTGATAAAACTTCTTTGGGACCTGAACAGTTACAAAACGCTTTAAAGCCAACAAAAAAAGTATTGGTTTTGTAGGGATTCGATTTATTGGTTACAGGATTTCATCATCATGAGCTGACATCAGTTAGAGAACCATTGGAAAACCAACCACATGGAGTACTGGACAGCTGTTTCGTCCAGTGACCAGTAGGTTGCAGCAGGTCGGGTGTGAGGACTTAAAAAAAAACAAACGCCGAAGACATTGGCTAGCGGTCGTACTATGTCGTCAATTGGCAGAAGTTGGCAGAATTCATGGGCTTAATGGTCTATGAGCTCGCTTGCCTTGTAACCAGAAGGTTCTGGTTTCGAGTCCCGATGGTTGCGTACTGATGAAGAGTCCCTGCGGGTTTTCCAATGGTTCTCTAACCGATGTCAGTTCATGATGAAATCCTGTAAGCAAAAAGACGATTATTTGATGGTTGGATCTATGTGGTTCTATTCAACAACACAATAATAACACCACAAACTCAAAACTACCTCAACAATGTCATTGAGCAACTATACGGACAAGGTAAGTTTCTAAGCACAAAACAAGCACTGCAGAATAAAAATTAGTTAAGCAAAAATTCAACTGTAAAAAATACCTTAGAGTTAAATAGAATATTCCCAACAAGGTGTGGGATCAAAACCCTGTCCAGCGCAAGAATCACACACACACCAATGTTTCCTGCAGATAGTTCAAGGTCAGAATTATTCCGTTGCACTGGCCAATAAAATCACTCCATTCACTTTAAGACACCTTTTAATGCATTCTGTTGTACCTCTGCCTCTTCCTTCTGGAGTTCAGGACTTATAACGATGCAATTTTTTAAATCATGGAAAATTCCCATTGTAACATATAGAAAATCAAAACAAATGATTCAGCGAAGAGAATCTTTTCAACGAATTTATCATCAAGCTGTACAATCGTATATATATGGCTTTTAAGCAGTTATATCCAGTGAGAGAATTGAATCATAAGTGTGAATGCATAAAATAATAATAATATGAAGTGCAATTAAAACTAAAATGCTTATGATTATAATCGTAGTTAAATGTCAAATGGCAAAGCAAATTAGTGTCATATATAGAATAATTCATAGGATGGATAGAACTTGAAAAAGGGTGTGCAATTATAAGATTAGTAGACAAATCGAATAAAATAAAAACATTACGTAATATCGTGTGAAATTTAATAGCATAGAATTTAATGTTGCATAAAGGAATTTATTTAGAATGACAAGTGGAACAAGTGAAATAATACCGGGGACAATTAAAAGTGAGAGTAGCAATAGTAACAATTGACGTAAAAAGGAAGAGTATACAAATTGAAAAGACAAAAATGAAAAGATGAAAAAATTGGTAGAGCTAAAATATGATTGGGGATTACCATACTTTAGCATAGAGGGATTAAGACCATGAAAGTTGGAGGGGTTGAGCGAACTTTTTCTGCACACAGAGATCTGGCTTTTCTGTTTCTGTTATGTATGTGAATATGAGGACCTTGTAGACTACGAGCGAATCTAACTAATGCGCTGGCTAATCTGTCTTAATCGCACGTCAACAACAACAACAATAATACCGCCGGGCACGCAAGACAAATAAAAGAGAAGACTGGAAGTTGATATGAGAGCTTTTACTGTCTCAAACAACAGTCGAAAATATTAAACAACAACTCCGTATTTATACAGTTAGAAAAATCAATGTCACATTTTAAAAATATTAACAAACCCTGGGAATTCAGTAATTTAAATCAATAATCACGCAGATGCGTGAAATCAATGATTATGCTAGTGTGTGAAATAAATAATGAATATTAATGATTCACCTGCGTATATATTACCTCCCCCTTTTAAAAGGAATCTCGCAAACAGTTTAGTATCTTTTTTCCTTGGGGTCGATTTGGAAATGAACTGTTTGTGTTCGTTTGCGCTGGGATCGTCGGCTGGGTAGCATCTCTTGTTTTGCTTCCGGTTTGACTGGTGGTATTTTGAAAGTTTCCAGTAGTAAATCCAGTGGCAATTTAGGTTCTTGGGATGTAGTATATCGACGTCGTATCTGATTTTTATGTCTAATCCACCATTCATCCCCAACTTTAACCTTGTACATTAGAGTTCCATGTCGACATTCTATCAAGCCTTCGGCCCATTTTCTGTTCCTCGGTCGATAATCGCGCACATAGACAGCATCACCCTTGCGGTAATACGTCACACTATTTCTTCGTTGATGTGACGAAGATGGTAACATGGAGTGGTGATGAGTTCGTAGCATTCGACCCATTAGAAGTTCTGCAGGGCTTTTCTTCTGTTCTGCCAGTGGTGTAGTTCGGTATACAAAAAGAAAGTTTTGTATTTCTTCCGGTTTCGCCCCTCCCCCTGCTTTCAACAACGCTCGTTTGAAAGTGTCGACAAATCTTTCTGCCTGACCGTTGGATTGAGGGTGATAAGGTGGCGTCCGCACGTGTTGTATACCGTTTCTCTTGCAAAATTCCTGGAACGCTTGTGAGGTGAACTGACTGCCATTGTCAGATACGATGATTTCTGGTATACCGTGACATGCGAAGATCTTTTCCAGGACTGATACTGTTCTGCTGCTAGAAGGTGGTGTCACTTGTACTACCTCCGGCCATTTTGAGTAAGAGTCCACGAGAACCAAGTAGTATATACCTTCTATCGGCCCAGCAAAATCAACATGTACGCGGGACCATGGTTTTGACGTGGGCCATGCTCTCGGTGGCGGATCTTTGGCTGCCATGACAGACATCACTTTCAGTTTTTGAGCAGAGCCTCTCTTACTGGAGCTAACAGTTGCTACTTTGTTGCTACCAGACATCGAAGCACTTTTGGCGCAGCCATACTCACTGTGACGATTCGAAGTTGGTGTTTCATTAATCACGTCATTCTTTCTAATGGGCTTAGGTTTAATATATCTGTCTCTGATTTCTGGCTTTCTTGTTGAGGGTTCAATACTTTCGATCTTTTGGCATACACTGCTTAACGGAATCTCTGACAGGTGCAGCTTCTCGAACCAGTCTAAACCCAAGAGGTCAAGGTTTGAATTATTGATGTAGCATGTGCCGATGAAATGACTATCGCGAAAACCAACGCTGCATTTAATTTCTCCATTCAATCGAAGTCTTCCACCACATGCACTAATTGCTATCTGATTTGTCTTCTCTATGGCAGGGCATCCCAACTTCTGCCATAATTTCTTTGATATTATTGTAATGTCGGATGCTGTGTCGATTTGTAGGCGTGCCGGCCGTGTATTAATCGTCAGATCGATATATTTGCGAGGTGCTGGAGTACTAATATGATATGTGGCAGTAACACCCAAAGACTTGAGCTTGTTGCGCCGTCTGAGTCGACTACGAGATCTGGGTCGGTTGTTGCGTTTGCAGTAGCCATCTTTGTGACCAACAGTATGGCATTGACGGCATTTATGCTGTTTGAATGGGCACAAGTTTGCAAAATGCCAGGAGCCACAGTGCCAGCAGGCTGATGGTGGTTTATGCTGAGGATGAAGCGGTGCGGTTGATGTCGACGGTACTGGATGCACCGCATGCACTTCTGCTGCATTTTGGCTGCCAGACTGCACCAAGACGGTATCGTTGTGAATGTTGATTAAACGCTGATATTCTTCACCGACGTCTTTCAAAGTCATTCGTGGATCTTGTTCCAGACGATTTAATAGACGTGTGCGTATATCAGCAAATTTGGGAGACTGCAAACCACAAATGAAAATCAATACCTTGAACTGGTCTTCTGAGAGTGATTTCAATTTAAAACGTTCACACGTGCGATTGACTATACCCAACTGAGTATGGATATCATCATTTTCGTTCAAAACTAGTTTCATGCAATGATATCGAATGTTGAATAACGATCTCTGATCACCAAACTGATGACGAAGGGTATGGACAGTTTCATCGAATGATCTTTCACTGGGCTTCTGTGGCAGAATTAAGTTGCAGTATTTATCTAGCTCATCTGCTCCCAATTTACGAAGTAGAAGCCGTACTTTCCAGGCATCATCTTTATCCGCAAAGTCTACTCGAAATAGGTCTTCATATCTGCGAAACCAGGTATCAAATGTTACGTTCGCATCTGGATCATAAACGAATTCTGAGATGCTACTACCAATGCTGTCGTTGGCTGTAGATGAATCAGCAGAGCGTGATATTTGTAGACCAGCAAGCATTTCCATCAATTTTAGCTGCTGTTCCATTAGTTTCTCTAAACGCAGTGGGTCCATCTTCAGCAAACCCGTCGCCAAATTTGTTATGTATGTGAATATGAGGACCTTGTAGACTACGAGCGAATCTAACTAATGCGCTGGCTAATCTGTCTTAATCGCACGTCAACAACAACAACAATAATACCGCCGGGCACGCAAGACAAATAAAAGAGAAGACTGGACGTTGATATGAGAGCTTTTACTGTCTCAAACAACAGTCGAAAATGTTAAACAACAACTCCGTATTTATACAGTTAGAAAAATCAATGTCACATTTTAAAAATATTAACAAACCCTGGGAATTCAGTAATTTAAATCAATAATCACGCAGATGCGTGAAATCAATGATTATGCTAGTGTGTGAAATAAATAATGAATATTAATGATTCACCTGCGTATATATTAGTTTCGATAGCCAAAGATGACTTCAGCAATACAGATGAGTCGGGTACGTAGAGATTTGGGTAAATCACGTTTTACCTTGTAGATGACTTTGAAGACGGAGGCTATAGAGATAGGGTGATCATTATCGAACAGATGTTCAATGATCGCGCTTCTTATTGCTCCACTTCCACCCTTTCGTAACCATGCAGGCTAGTGTTCTTGCACCCTCTTGGACAAAACTCGTGTCGAACGACCGATATACCTAGCTCCACACGAGCAGGTGAATTGATAAACATGCATAAAGTTGGTCAACAGCAGGATCTTGTCCTTCAGGTTATTGAACAGTAATGGTCGACTAGTAAAGGCTAACACCATATATATACGATTGTACAGTTTGATGATAAATTCGTCGAAGAGTCTCTTCGCTGAATCATTTGTTTTGATTTTTATAACGATGCACCTGCATAACCGCACTCTAACCTAAGCCTATAGGCCACCAGCTCTATCAATAAGGCAAAGGCTTTTCACATTCCTTTTACAACATCTTTCATACTCTGTGGGAAAATTCAAGAGTGTTCTCTAGGTAACAAAAGAACGTCTACAATTGACTCATGTTTAATGGAATTCGATGACATGGATTGTGAACCAGACTGCGTCCAAATAAACTGGTGGTGAGCATTGATAACCATTGAAACAAGACGAGCTGTCCAACCAACCCCAACCCCCCTTGAAAAAAAACAATCAGGAGATGTAGATGGCGAAGATAGACGTGACAAAAGCATCTTATTATTACTATTATTTCTTTGCAGTTATCACTAGTAAACTTTTCAGGCATTTTTCGTAGCTCCGGATTACATTCATCGAATCCAATGCTAGTTACCCATAAGGATTATTTGACTCGTCTGTGTTTTGAGACAAAATTTGCAATATTAACACGAAACAAAAACAAGGAATGATCTTTCTGTCTTTACCAAAGTACTTTCGAGATGTTTTCTGTCTTTATTTCACTCTGATCCAATCACCTATTCAAGAAATGATATCAGTCTTAATGAATTGGTTGTTGTTGTTGATGAAATCCTGCTGTGAACAAGAGTGTGGTGAGAGCTGTCTGCAAGCCAAATTTGGTAGATAACAATTTACGCGTCAGTGTTTACGTCCCATATCTTGGTCATGAGAAAAAAACAAGAACAAAGACTAACCTTGAGGAACTCAACAACCACCAATCACAGCAGACTTAGCGTGGGCGGATACGATTCGCAGGCATATATGTCACCGGACTGTCTAAGAAACGGCAACAAAGAGATGACAGAATAACCTTCAGCAGGAAAACAACCAATCAGAAGACGTTGTTTCTCTGCTAACAATAACGCTGATAATAATGTACATAAAAATCTATAAATATCTGTTGATTTTCTCAATGAAGGATCTGTTGCCTGATCCTTGTCTTCTGTCGTTACAGTTTATCTGAAATGTGCAACACATTTCGGACATTCCGATCACACACATTCTCGTCATATATATTAATATAGAAGGCAAGAGAGCTTGAATTATTACAATACAGGTCACACACACATCCTTACGTCATCTTCCTACCCCTTATTTGTTACCCTGAACTGCTCTCTTGCCTTCTATATAAATATGCGTGAAGAGTATGTGTATGATCAGAATATCCGATATGTCTTGCGCAAATGCATTACATGTTTCAGATAAACTACGTTCTCAGAATTTAATTGGTGGATGGTGACTAGCAGTGGAATCCACCAGGATAACGCTCATTTCGTCCTATTTGGGACTCGTCATCTGGATGTACCTGCATTGCCCAGTGAGTGATGATGTTTCCACCGAGACTCGAACCCAGTGCCCATAGTTTCAAACTCCAAAGCGATCCAATCAATCGACGGGAAAATCTAAAATTCAATTAAATAATTAATATGACCCTTTGCACAAGAAGTGGGGTGGCTCTCGTGGCCTAAGTGGTCTAGTGGATAACTCTTTGGAGTTTGAAACTATGGCCACTGGGTTCGAGTCTCCCTGGGAACATCATCACTCACTGGGGAATGCAGGTACATCCAGATGACGAGTCTCAAATAGGGCGAAATGCGCATCCTGGTGGATTCCACTTCTAGTCACCATCCACCAATTAAAGTCTAATTACATGCCCAGACATTGTCGAAGCATCTGCACAAGAAGCCGACAGACATGTCAACCTGAGGTGGAGCACTTCGGTCCAATCAATCGACGGGAAAATCTAAAATTCAATTAAATAAACTGCGTTCTCTTCTTATTGTTTTATCGGAACTCAGTAATACTCATGGTTTACTACATAGAAATGGATATCTGGTTAAATTCTTGAAGAAAGCATATGGATTTATTTACCTAACATCGAAAGCATGATGATGACGTATCTAAAAAAATCAATGTTTCCGAAATCACAGTTCATCAGCGATGGTACCAGTGAGGTTATATCACAATTTTTGAGAAGAGCCTTCAGAAGAACATTTAATGCAATTGCCTTACTCTGTTTATTTTCCAGTCAGTCTATTTAAGAACAGACTATCAAGTTTCGTATTCTGCATACTTTAACTTACCAGTTTAACTGCTCGTGTTGAGTTAGTTCTATTGAGTGTACAACTAAACAAGTCCCTTGGTTTAAGTTTTGAAGGACTGACAAAAGTGACATGTAGCTTTCTACTACTACTTTTGCAAGATATCATCGACATTACCTTTGTGATAGTATACCAGCTCGACCTTTACATATAGCAGAGGTGGTCAATATTCATCTGAATAAGCCAAATCTATGTATTCAGTCGACTGAACTTTACGTTCCCAGTGGAACATATGGCTTCAAACTAGAGCTATTAAGCTTCAGTAGCAGCAGTGGTGTTTATTTTTACAAAAGATGGGGTCGCTAGCCAGCCTCATGCCCAACTTTCCTTCTTTACCAGTCTTATTACTGGCTTAGCGAGATAAAGGAGTGCGTCCGTGGCTGGGGATCGAACCCCGAACCACATGAGGTGTGGTTGGCGAGCATTCTACCGTTGTGTCACTGGCGCACACTATTATCCTTCTGAAATGTTTTAAATCTCTTCCTCCCTATCTCTTTCGTCAGATAAATCTTATATCCACTCCATTACAAAAATTTCATGTTGTGTAAAGATCAACCAGAAAGTTTAAAGTATGTAAATGAAGGTTTGCTTAACCTTTTTATTATACGCATTCATATCCCTTTCATTTTAGCCAGAAATAAGTGATTTGCTTACACTGAATCTTCGCATTGAACCTGGTGCAATTAAAGAAGATATGCAATTTCAATGGGTGTCCGACAGTGGAATACCAAATTATATCTCCCAGCTAGTCAATGAATTTATTGAAGAACATAATTTAAAGGTGAGTAACCTTCTTTCAAATTGGTTTCACTTATTAAATATTATTATTCAATATGATAACTATGACTTTTCATCCCTTTTGTAAGGTAGACAAAGTCAAGGAACATACAGTGGGGTTGTTCGTTTTCATTATTATTATTGTTTCCTTTAATTCCTAGAGGAACATAGGGCTTCAGCCACGCGTCTCCATTGCGTTCGGTTCTCTGCTAGAGTCTTCACCTGGCTCCAAGTCTGCCCACACGTTTTCATCTCCTCTTCACATGACCTCCTCCAAGTCACCCTTGCACTGACGACCAACTCGCCGCTTCCCTTTCGGGTTCCACTCGAGCAATGGCTTGTCTAGTGATGTCACTTGAGTTGGTTTCCTCAGAGTATGGCCAACCAATCCATCTCCATTTCTTCCTGCCTATTTGTTTCACAATCGGTTCCTGCTGGGTTGGTTCGCTCATTGCCAGAGATCTCTGTTGCTGATCTTTCCTGGCCGGCCATCTGATCTTGAGTATTGAGCGAAGACAACTGTTGATGAAGGTCTGTAGTTTGTTTGAAGTGCTCTTTATGACGCGCAGTGCAAGTCTCTGATCCGTATAGTGAGTAGCACTGACTTCACATTGGAGTTGAAAATCCGGATCTTATTTTTGATGCTGAGTGTTGTTGACCTCCACACAGACTTGAGAGTAGTGAAAGCTTGCCTTGCTTTTCTGATTCTTGCTTTGATATCCTCGTCAGTTCGGCCTGTAGTTGAAACGATGCTTCCCAGGTAGGTGGTAAAGAGGTTGTTTCTTTCAGGTTCCTTCCATTTATGCTGATTGTTGTCTGTTGTTGTTATTGTTGCTGTTGGTGGTGTTGCCCGGGAATCTTCATCACCTCTGTCTTCTCTATGTTCACCTGGAGTCCTATCTTTGATGCTTCTTCTGCCAACTTGTTGCTTTTCGCCTGCATATCTTCCAGTTTGTGGGAAATCAGATATATATCATCGGTGAAGTTCAGATCCTCCAAGTTTTTTGTATGAGTCCGTTTTATGCCTGTTTCCTCATTGCCCGCTGTTTGTCGCATTATCCAGTCTACCGCAATCAGGAAAATCATTGGCGATAGTAGGCAGCCTTGTCTTACTCCTGTCCTCACTTCGAAGGATTCCGTAAGTTTCCCGTTGTGGATTACTTATTCAATGATAACTATGACTTTTCATCCCTTTTGTAAGGTAGACAAAGTCAAGGAACATACAGTGTGGTTGTTCAGTTTTAGTTAAAGGATGTTCAACTGTGCATACTGACTACTGTACAGAAATCACACTGAGGAGTGATGACACAGATCTATTCAGCCTTTGACAGTCGGTTTGGGTCGTGTAGGGAGCTGTAGACTGCCGGGTTACGTTCATCGAGACTCTAAGAACTAGTGGTTTGAAATTATTGGTAATATGGCTAAGATCATTCTATGTGGCGCAGATTGACTCACTCTTTGAATTTTTGCAGATTCTTTAGCTTCTCAAGATTTTCCATGTAATTATTCTTTCTCACTTACATTTTTATTCGTCATAGTCCCTTTGAGTTTTTTTCTGTACCTTTGTGTGTTATGCGGAGTTTGGGCAAGTTGACCTGCTGCACTTCTGCACAAAGTTCTGCGTTTAAATTAAGTTAGTCAGTATGTTATGCTAGAAAATGTATGACACTACTCAATTGGTTAGGTCAACAGGCGGGGGATTTGAGTCGGGTTTTGAAAGTGAGACTTATAAGTAGAAGTTAGCTGCTTAGGTGAGTGAGCTATCTCTCTCTGTTCAACCTCACTTTGCTAGTGATGTTGGCAATTATTTAAAATTAATGTAAGTGCAGAACTTGGGCACTCCAGTATCATGTAATTCCATATTAGATAAGTTTATTCTGAATACCACACAGTGAAGATGCAGTATTAATAACTGGACGACAAGGTTTCGAGCAGAAATTATTGCTGCTCAAAAGCATATCAATTTAGTTGCATGGTTTCACAATTTGTCTTATATACATATATATATTCTCTCTTTCTCTCTCTCTCCCTCCCCATCTTCCCCTTGTTGTTGGTTGCATTGAGTCATTCCGATTCTGTCTGTCTCTGTCTGGATTCAACATAGAACTTGGCACCGAAGTGCAGCAGTTCCAGTTGCCACGTTCCAAATAGCACACAAAGGTAGACAAGAAAATGAGTGAAGAGAATCAATAGAGTTTTGACAAGTATAAGAGTGAAACAGAATGAGTAATGGTAGAAAGGAATATGAAAGATTACAGAGACTGAATACATCTGCGTAAGCCATTGACAACGATTTTGAGCCATGTCACCTATCTGTCTCCAGCCATTGATTCTTAGAGTCCCGAGGGCGGGCCCCAACCCGGAAGTCTGCATCTCCCTACCTGACTCAGTTTAACTGTCAAGGATTTCATGGATTGATTGATGCCATGTTTTTGTTTGGCCACCACTTACTCTTTTCCAACCTGCACCTATATCAGCTAGTAATGCCCGTCGGGGGAGGCGATGGTTAGGCATGCGCAGCACGTGACCACTAGCCATCTCAATCTATGTAACTTTATAGCCTCTTCGATTGATTTTCCCTCTTTGCCCAACACTCTACGCCTAACGTCAACATTACTTACCTTATTATACCACCTAACGTGAGAAAGAGATCGTAGACATCTATGATCAAAAACAGTCAACCTTTTCATGTCTTCAACTCGTATTGGCCATGTTTCAGAGCCATAGAGAAGGACGGAGCGAACTGCTGAGCAGTACACACGTCCCTTGGTTGATAGCCGGATGTCACGCCTACGCCAGAGATGGTGTAAGTTAGCGAAAGCAGCCCGAGCTTTTTGGATCCGTGCTGAGATTTCGTCGCCAATCAGTCCGTTGGTGCTGATACAACTTCCCAAATAGGTGAAGTGGTCAACATGTTCTATCACTTCACTCCCTATCACTAAGCTAGGGGTAGACGTAGTCCAGTCCTGTAGCAGCATCTTACATTTTACAGGGGCGAATTGCATGCCAAACATACGAAGATTGCTGCTCAAGGTGTTCAGAAGACTCTGCATTCTGATTGTTGACTCGATGATGAACAAAGCTTCGGTGATTAACCTCTCTCTCTCTCCCTAACAATATTACTTTTCAATACTCTCACCCTGTCCCACACAAACTATTGTGTTATTACATGCAAGTGAATGTAGTGCAATGGCTGAGCTTTTTTTCTCTAGGTTATTTAACTTTCCAAGTTCAATAATTCTACGTCTAGCTAAATTTTTATGTTCCAATAATCTAGTTGACCCCGATCTACTAGTCTGACTGATCTGTAGAATTGACTCCACTCACAGTCATTACATGGTATTTAGTCAATCATATTATTTTTCTTAATTAGATCTACTGGGTCCTTAAGCCGACAAAGTTTATCTCCAAGAGAGTTAGTTGGTTTAAACGCCACCCTCATGGTTCTTCATATATCTCTGAATAAACTCTGATGGGTAGTGTGTTATTCACTAGTAATATTTCCTTAATTTGTTTAATTTCATTATTTAAATCTTCTGGCTTAGTAGTTAGACTCTTGGCCCGATTAATATAGACATTTAACTAAACCTGCCTTTATCGATTCTGGATGGGATGAATTAAAGTCCAAGTGTCTATTAGAGTGTACTGATTTCTTATAAATGCTAGTATCTAATTACCAACCATCTTGTTTTCGTTTTATTCTGCTCTAGTCTAGCATGCCCTACTTACCCTATTCGTTTTCTAACTCAAACGTGAATTGGATTCCGTCTACTGTTGAGGTTTTATGTGTGAAAAACTGAGGGATATGTTCAGCTAATACTGCATCAGTGTGCGATATTTAAAATAAAGTTAGCTAATATGGAACTATTTAAAATGTTTTACTGATATTTATAAATGTCTGCTGACATCTTAATTATTCCACTAACTCTCGCCATTCATCCACTAGATTTTTAACGTGATGCCCCATTAATTTTAAGCCTTTTTGAAGTTATGATATGGCGGCACTTTCACTACATCATCAGATCATTAACGAGTTTCTGCGCACACACGAACTGATGGACTCAAGTGGTCATAACTTCTCTTTAGGACAAGAAATCCATTTCAAAGCCAGTCTATAAAAAACTGTATAATTTAAAACCCATAAGTCATTTGAATAAAACCCGGTGAATGAATACTGGACGTGTTCGTTTCGTGATTTAATGGTCGTGACGTCAATTTCCTGTGAATTCATAAGTGTGTATACTCTTAGAGTACAAATTTAAAAGGACATAACTGTACGGTGTTGCCTTTTTTTTCAACAATCCTCAAATTGATATTTCGTCATAATTGAATCTACGTTGAAATTAATAAATTCCTTAGAACTACAGCCTCTGGGGATTGTTTTTCTCGTCTTATTGTGCATAGTCCTGCACCTTAACTTCATCGACTTCGAAAAGGCCTCCGAGGAGTTATTTGGAAACTAATTCAACACTACGGAGTGCAGTGCCCAAGTCTTTATCAACCTCATTCAACAGCTGGCTATATGACAATGGCACATGTCAGGCGATACATAATGGACAACTCAGCGAGGCGTTTGAAGAGAATTCAGAAGTAAGAAAAGGCTGCCTAATATCACCGATGACATTTCTAATTGTCGTGGACTAGATTATGCGTCGGTGTGTGCAAAGAGAGGTAAAAGACAGGAATACGTTGGACGGATAAGAAGACTCTAGAAGACTTGGATTTCGCGCGTGGATGATTCATGTTTAATGTCACACAAACTCGAAGACTTACAGGCGAAATGCAACAAACTGACTGAAGAGATGGGCAGCGAAGACAGGACTCCTGGGGAGCATACAGAAGACGGAGGAGGTGATGAAGATAACCAACCAACCAACCGACGACAACAACAACAACCAGCACTAACCACCATCAGTGGGAGAGATTTGACAGAGGTGACTTTCATCCCTTACCCAGAAGATATTTTTTTAACCACAGGCAGAACAGATGAAGATGTCAAAGTCATCCAGAATCGGGAACGCAAGGAAAGATACGCCTTCATCAACTTGAAACCAGTTTGGAAATCTTCTACACTTACTCAGAACACAACAAGATTCGGACTTTCAACACCAATGTCAAGTTGGTCAGTTTTTCTATATGTGTTAGAAACTTGGCCAGTGTATCACGGAAAGGATTTCCAACAGGTTGCAGACTGTCATCAACAGTTGCCTTCACTGGCTCCATATTGAAGATCAAATGGGTGGCCAGTCAGAAAGAATTAACAACAAGAAACTCTGCAGTGGAACAAACCAGCCGAGTAAGAGCTGATTGCTCAACAAATATGTAAGAAAATAAAAGACAAATTCAGCGAAGAAAATGCTTCTTTATCGACGAAATCATCTTCACAGGCTGTGCTGTACAGTCGTATTTATACTTACAAAAAGTATATAGTGGTCTATTATTGAGTATCAGGGGGGGTTACACAATTGATATAATTACTCAGAAGTGGCTTTAGAAGTGAAAATTAAAAGTTGTAAATTACGTGGTACTCAACGGCACAAAGATAGAAATTTGATAAGGTTAAAATTGCTATTGAGTGAGAAGAAAGGTGGTAGTTGAGTGTCAATTTAACAAGTGTGAAGAGGGTGTGAAAATGTACAAAGGAACATATGAGAGTGATAATAGTGAATTAATTATTAAAGCAAAAGCAAACTAAAAGTAAAATTGAAAATTAAAAGAAAAGAAAAGAAAAAATCAAAATTTTCTACAGGGAACGAATAGTGAAGTGGTTAAGACCAAGGTGGAATAAGAGACTGGACAAACTTTTTCTGTATACAGAGTTCGGGGTTGTATTGACGAATTACCAGTGCCTCCGCCATACACAAAAGCCGAAACCTGACGCCCTTTGTACCATTTGGCTTCACTTTGTGAAGGAACTTGATACGTTTCTTAAGTTTTCTGTCAAACTTGCCATAGCAAATATGTAAGAGAAAATGGAGATGGATGGATCGGGCATACTTTGAGAAGGTCATTGAATGACATTGCGCTCAATGCTGGCCATCGCTCGAGTGGAATCCCAGTGGGAAGCGACGAGTGGTTCGTTGGTGCGAGGGTGACATGGAGGAGATTGTGTGGCAAGGAGGAGATGAGAGATTATAGGCAATCACAAGCACAGCTGAAGAGGAAAGTAGAAAAGAGAACAAAGTGGAGATATGTTGTTGAATCCCTATATTCCACTCGGAACCCAAGGGAATAATAATAATGTTTGCATAGTGTTAAAATATTGCTCTTAATACATTTAATCCTACTCCAAAAATATGGTGGAGATATGTGGATGGCACTTTCACAGTGTTAAAAACAGAACATATCTCTAGCTTCTTAACACATATAAACTCACTAGTAGAGGGAATAAAATTCACATTTGAAGCCGAAAATGAACAAGGAGAATTAGCTATGTTAGATTGTAAAATAAAACGAATAGAAGAAGGTAAACTACACACTAGCGTTTATAAAAAACCAACGCATTCTAATAGATATTTAGACTTTAATTCGTCTCATCCGTTAACTGTTAAGGCAGGCTTAGTTAAGTGTCTAACAAACCAAGCAATAGCACTAAGTAGCACGAGAAAAGACCTAGATGATGAAATAAGATAGATAGAAGAGGCGTTGGTGTTAAATAACTATCCTTTAAAATCCATTAGGAAGATCGAAAAAAGCCAAAAGCCAAATAAAAATAATTGTGAAACTAGTAGTGATAACATAAATAAGAGAGGATATAAGTCATCTACTGTTATACCATATAAGGAGGGGACATCTGAGACCCTACGTAGGATTCTTAATAAATTTTTTTTTATTATAGCTTGATTCCACAACGCAGTTTTGGTACCAGTATGGAATTTTCAGCATGTGATATCGGTAGCCAAATTTTGCAGGCCAACCATTGATATCGGGTTGCGTTAGCAGGGGATCGAACCCCGTACCATGTGCATGGTCGGCGAGAGTCCTAACCGCTGTGCCACCGACGCAGGAATTAGGGTGGCATTCAAACCTACAAACTCACTCAGAGACAAGCTCTGTAGGCTAAAAGACCCGGTGGATCCAATTAAACAACATAATATAATTTACAAAATACCCTGCAATGACTGTGAGGTCAACTACATAGGTCAAACTAGTAGATCGGGGATAATCAGATTGTCGGAATATAAGAATTTAGCTAAGGTAAGAATGGTTGACCTCGAGAAGATAAGTAATTTAGAAAAAAGCTCAGCAATTGCACTGCATGCATTAACACACAACCACACAATATGGTGGGAGAGGGTTAAGATTCTAAGAAGTAATCTATGTAGGTGGAGAGAGAGATTGATTACTGAATCCTGGTTCATTGAGTCTACATCCAACACATGTAAGAGAAATGACTCAATGCAAATACCAGAAATATGGAAGATATTATTACCGCCAGTCAAATCAGAGGAGGATAACAAACAATCTTAATATTCTATTTCAATTCAAGCACATCATAACATTCTAACAAGTTACTTATTATGACTAAAAAAACACTCGTCTTATTTCCCATCTGATTGTATTTGATTGATGACACCCATATTATTATTTCCGAATGTACATTATCCTATAATGATTTTAATTCAAATGTCTAATCAATTCCACTCATGTATATAAATGAAGCAAGAAAGTTGTGTGAGTGACTTGATATGATTATGAGTGGCAATAGTTTGTGCTTGAAACGTGGTCATCAGTTAATATTACTGTGTAGCACTGTGTGACTTATGAAAATAAAATCTTATCCATAATAGTATCCATAATATATATCTTTTCCTTTTCATTGTTCATTTTTTGTATAGCCATTACGTATATGTGTCCTTGGTCCACCGTGTGTTGGCAAGACAACACTAGCTAAACAACTCTGTCAAGTCTATCGTTTACACCATATACACTTGAATGGTTTATTATTCGAGTGTATCAGAAACTTGGTATGTATCTAAAGATTCATCAGGTTAATTTTTATTTATACTGATGTATTATACAGGTGTAAATATATTATGATAGAACACTAAACAGTGAGTAACTAGTGTCATACGCGTTTAGTCCTCTGTTTGGTGCAAACTGAATTTTATCAGTCAGTCAGGTTTGTTATGTGCCCGCCATGCCACTAGGTGACTCACTAGGTCCGTCACTGTGCACTCTGATTAGAGGCAATCGGCCACAGGAAGCCTTGCTTGACCTAGATTTCGTGCCAGTTGGCACCCACCAGTCAACAAAGCGTATGCACAACCTTCAAAGAACTCCTCATGTTCCTCATCTGAGATTTGAATCCGTGTCGCCCAGTGTCACCTAGACACGTTACCACAGAGCTCTGCATGAAAGGGTGTGGATTAATAATACTGCAAATCACGACAGATTTCTTAGATTTTCCTACAATGAAGAAGTTTTGTAAGCATAGAATTTCTAAAGGGAAGATAAAGAGGGAAGTGTAGGGAGATAAGAAGGAGGATGAAGGAGTGGAAGAAGAATAAGAAGGATCTAAAAGCATGGGTTTATCAGTAAGTAGTACATGGCATTTTATTTTGCCTCCTGTTATTTAAGAATACGCACGGTTTTGGGTAAATTTCTCGTCTTTCAGATATTAAAATCTTTCAATATATTAAATATTCCCATAGTAAAATTTAGAACAACACATTTAAGTGAACAGTGATATTGTGGTTTCAATTAGATCTCATCAGGCTTAACTCTAATATACCTACATAACTTTACAAATATAAATTCAAATATACACCAATCATGGTGTTTTGTCTATAGGACAATACGATGGTGAATATAAATTGTGCAATTAGTCATAATAGTAGTAATGATAATAATAATAGTTTTATCAATAATAAGGATGAAAAAGTGAGGCAATCTGTGATAACACGAATAATGAGAAACAGCATGATTAAGCAAACAAATGTTCAGGTGGAAGTAGTCGATAAAGGCTAGTTAAAACAAATGAACCGATTAAGTAATGTTGGATTGTAAGGGAAGTAAATGGAGCACGTTTATAATGAAGATGTTATAAGATTAAGGGATGATAAGAAAGGGGTTGAAAATATAAACAACGGGTGGTGTAGAAGTCATTAGTTGGTTATGTCTTAATAGGCCAACAAGGGAGGGATAATGGCTGTACGAACTTCCGAATGAATACATAGTTTAGGTTTAATAGTTCGAATGCCTATCGCCTCAGCTGTGTGCAGTAGACGAATACAAAGTCTATTGGAAAGATTCGGTGAGATACGTTGAACTACTTTGAAAGTTCTCGTTTTCTCCACTACATGACCACTATCAACTAAATGTGACAAAATGGCTCTACGGGTTGTTTTTGCCTGTCCTTTGCCAAACCACCACGATGGGAGATGTTCACTAACACGTTGGCTGGCTAAGCTGCCTAGTAGTACGCCCAACATAGCTGTCACCGCAGGTGCAGCTGAAATGATACATGCACATAGATGTGGCTTAACTATTCAGCTATCTATCCTTCGTTTGCGTCCGAATCATTCGTCGGCTAGAGAATGACAAACATAGGTGTGCTACTGTTGGTATTAGATGGTTGGAGGCAATCGGCAGGAAGCCTTGGACCTAGGTTTCGTGCTAGTTGGCACTCATCAGCAAGGCGTATCTGCAACCTTGAAGGAACTGATGTCCCTTCTGAGATTCGAACCCGCATCACCCAGTGCTGCAGTCAGAGACGTTACCACTGAGCTATTCAGGCTCGCGACTGACCTCCTGTAGGACTCTATTGGATATTTTTGATTGAACACTAGTCAGTAACTAGTGTGCTACATAAAATGTTCTTCGTACACTCCTTGAATGTCTTTGGAATAAAATCTCGCTTGATAAGTCACCATTAAATTGTAACTTAATAAATAGAAGTTTCTTACGTGAAGTCCGAGTCTCAGGTTTAAACTCTGATGTTTTCATATGTTTCTTAATGAAACTACTCGGATAGCCCATCTCCGCGTCAAGGAATCGTGAATATATTCAAATTCCTTTTGTAAGAGGTCATCCGTACATATCTTTCTTGCTCTGCTCTTTGTCATTTAGTGACTCTGCCATCAACCTATTCCCGTCATGAGTATCTAAGTCCTTGTTGGGAATATTTATGCACACAAACAGGTTGCCTAGGTTCTGACCACTTTATTTATTTAAACCAAAGTGTATTCTTTGAATCGATTCACAGTATTGAAAGCAAAACACGTAGTTTCAGCGAAGAGTCTCTTTTTTGTCCACGGCGAACTTATTCACTTAGCTGTAAAATCGCAATTATACATACTTATTTTTGTATGTGTGTGTGTGTATGTGTGCGTACATTAGGTTTATCCGATAAGAGTTAAAGTAAGTTTGAGTTATTGTCGTCAAGACATTTCAAAACTGTGGGGAGTAAGTAATCAAATGGTAACTAGGGCAGCGGGTGGTGACTTGCTGTCAAAAAAAAACACAGTTATTAATGCTAATCAACACATAAAAGAAGTTGAATACGAGTAGTACAGCAACGTTATCAGATGAATAGTTGAATGGGTGAGTTGTGATTAGGATGCACAGAGAAACAAAGGAGAATATGGAATTGCGTAAGAGTTCTAAAAATTACAAATGTTATAAGGACACAAACATCAAGTGAGTAGAAGTCAACACGGTTGTTACCATGATGGTAGGAGTGATTGGATGAGATACTAACACAACACCTTAGAAATGCGGTAAAAAGAGTATTCCCTGCTGCTGAATTACGCTGTGTCTTCAAAACCATCCACTCCTCTTTTGCGTTCGGGAGTAAAAGATAAACTGCCTAATTTCTCCTCTTCCATGTGTATCTACCAATTTAACTGCTCCTATGAAGCCAGTTACATAGGCCGTACAATTAGGCGTGTTGTTCGTCGGATTTCCGAGCATCATCCTGGTTAAGTAAAGGACAAACAAAATCCATTCACATAGCGCTATTCTATCTCATCTTGTGGATACAGAACACAAGATTGATGTCACCGAGGCTTTCAAAGTAATCTACCGTATACCAAATAATCTTAACTTCACCTTAAGACCTCGACTACTAAATGTTGATGAGGCTGTTGGGATCCACATTAAGAAGCCTAATTTATGTGTCTAAAAGAAGCTAGTTCAGACATTGTCCTTATCTTGGCCATCTAGGTTTGAATGATCCTCAATTGGTTGTGGAAATTTCCTTAATTTTAGTTGATATTCTATTTACTATTATATTTTTATTATTATAATTTAAGCATCTTTAATGAACTGTAATTCCATTGAGATCTTACTTAACAAATCGATATTATTTAAAAAAAACGTTAATATTGTTATCGACTGCTAATCTAAAATATTCTATTTATATAAACATGCATTTATAATTGTAGAGCCAGAAGAGGAGGAAATTATCGAAAAGGATATTCTTTGCTCAATTATTTTGTGTTTTGTAGATGTCTGAATGAATCTTTTCGCTAAATAGCACATTGCTTTAAGGAGACTGACAAGTAGATAGATATTATCAGCAACTGACTTGAAACTGTTGCGTTGTAGCTAAAGTAGCCATTTCTTATATTTTTGGTAGACTTTATATGACTGTCTCTTAAAATGAACATTGAAAGGAAGATAGACAGTCAGGCAGACAGGCAAGTCAAAGTTCTTACAAATCATATTATCAGGTCAAGTATACTATTCTGAAAGGAAAGAGATAATTAAATCAAAGCAATTCAGACAAAGTACAGCAGGTTGAAGATGAGGCAGTAACTCGTCGAAGAAGACATTGCCAAGTGGTCACGCTATGTCATAAATTGGCAGAAGCTAGAATTCATGGACTGGCTGGTCATTGGATCGGGTCCCAGTGGCTACTGAATGGTGTACCAGCTCGCTAACCTTGTAAACAGAAGGCCCAGGGTTCGAACCCTGGCGGTGGTTGCGTACTGACGAAGAGTCCCAAACCAAGACGAAACAGCTGGCTGTCCAGTACTCCCAGGTGGTTTTCCAATGGTTCTCTAACTGATGTCAGCTCATGGTGAAATCCTCCATCCAATGAAACAAATTCCCTACAAAACCAATACTTGGAAAGTCCTTAAGACATTGTAAAGTGGAAGAACAAACAATGAGATTGATTTTGAATCATGCTGCTATTTGATCACAATTCAGTTAATGACCATTTCCTTACAAGAATGAAATTATAAGTCATAAATAAGTCTACAATTTGTATGCCAATATTTACTCCCGTCTTCTATCTTATAAAAAAAATAAACCATTTCGTGACGATTGAAATCCGCTATTTCCCTCACAGAGTTTATTCTTTTGTGTTCGATAGTATCCAGTGTTAATATATGTGTAAAACTTGGGCACTTTGGTAATAAGTAATTCCATATTAGTTTGTTTATTAGATGTATCACACAGTGAAATAGTCACTTGAGGACATAATGCTGGGAGTGGAGCTATGCCTGACTTCCACAGTATTTAAATTCCAGGGGAAGATATACAAACAAACTGATGGAGTTGCCATGGGGTCACCAATATCCCCGATTGTAGCAGATATATTCATGGATAGGTGGGAAAACATAGAGATTGAAATGTTCAGCCCCACCCCAAAAGTATGGTGGAGGTATGTAGACGACACATTCACTGTACCTAGAACACAGGATATAAATAGATTTTTCGAACACATTAACTCAAAGGTGGAGTCAATTCAATTCACTTATGAATTTTGAAATTCAGGAAGGGAAGCTTCCAATGTTAGATTGTAGCGTAAAATGGAAAGTTAAACACTAGTGTTTACAGAAAACACATACATTCAAACAGATATTTGGACTTCCGATCATCCCACCCTATATCAGTAAAAATAGGATTTCAAAATAGAAAATATCCCCATTTAGACATTTGGAACTTATTTTAAGATGCACAATGAATGTTCATTTCTTATTCAATAAGGAATATTACAGGCAAATTGATGGTGTAGCTATGGGTTCCCCATTAGGTCCAATCCTAGCTGATTTTTTCCTCGCTAAATTAGAGAATGGACCACTGAAAGGAGTAATTAATGACATGGATTTCTACTGTCGATATATGGATGATACATTTGTGGTTATGAAAGATGAGAATGATGCAATGAATATCCTCGACAAGTTTAATGATGCACATTCAGCAATAAACTTTACCATGGAGAAAGAAAGTAATGACAGTATCTCATTCCTAGACGTCTTCATGGCAAGGAAAGATGATGGCACACTAAGAAGGAGTGTGTATAGGAAACCTACAACAACAGGTCAGTACACTCATTTTTTGAGTTTTGTACCTTTGAAATATAAACGTAACCTGGTAAAGTGTTTGGTTCATAGAGCTAAGTTAATTTGTTCAGACGACTGCCTCAATGAGGAGCTTAAGATTATTAAAGAATTACTTAGAAAAAATGGTTATCCAGATAAATTTATTGAGAAGAATATGAATTCAGCACCAAAGAGAGTCAGTATTGCTACAGTTTCGAAAAAGCCAATGTTCATAAAATTGCAGTTCCTCGGTGACAACATCAGTGAGATCATAACACAGCGCTTGAAGAATGCAGTTAAAAGAGCTTATTATGCAGCAGAAGTACGTTGTCTCTTCACAACCACCCCTATTCTATGTTCGAGAAATAAGGACAAACTACCTAATTTTGCCTCTTCTATGTGTGTATACCAGTTTGACTGCAGCTGCGGAGCCAGCTACATTGGGCGTACAATTAGGCAGTTTCATCGTCGTATTTCTGAACATCATCCAGCGTGGTTAAGCAAGGGACAAACAAAATCTATTCGGAGTTCTATTTTAGCACACCTTGTTGATACCGAGCACAAGGTTGATGTGAATACTGCATTCAAAATCATTTATCGCATTCCGACTAATCTCAACTTTGCTCTAAGAGTTCGTCTTCTACAGACAGCAGAAGCAATCGGAATCCACCTTAAGAAGCCAAGCCTATGTGTACAGAAGAAATTTGTACAGCCACTTTGCTTACCGTGGCCATCCTTACAAGACAGGACTACGTCGCTCCCCTCCCCCTATTAAATTATAATTGTCCAAATTATTTTATTTTATTTTTATTTTTATTTTGACCGCTTCATCTTTAATTACGTGTTATTCTTGTAAAATTAATTTATTCTATCCATTTCTACTTTTTTAAATGTGTATTGATTTTCTGCGTTAATTATCTACCCATTGACATTTCGACACTGTTTAAATATTGTTAACAAACATATCACCACTTGTTTGGTAAATTGTTGTGTATTGTAAAAATGCTATATATATTAGAGTAGAGCCAGAGAAGAGGATCTAATTGAAAAGTAAATATTTCTTCGCTCAATCTTTTGTGTTTTCCAAAAATAGGATTGGTGAAATGTTTAAGTGACAGAGCACAAAAACTAAGTAGTACCAAGGAAAATCTAAGACAGGAAGTGAAACATAGTAGAGAAGCCTTGAGACTTAATAATTACCCTTATAAATTAGTCAAAAAGTACGTTGGGAAATGTAAAAATAAAACAAATAATGATAGTAATAATAATAATAATAATGACGACATGCATGTCAAATGTGCGCAAGACAACACCACCATTAAGGAATCTCAATCATCAGTAATAATTCCACACAAGGAAGGAACCTAGGAAACCTTACGCAGAATTCTTAACAATCCAGGCAGGAATAAAAGTTGCTGGCATTCAACCCACCCTCAAACTCAATTAGAAACATGGTTTGTCAGTTAAAGGATCAATCCTGTGGAACATCACATTGAACAAAACTATTTAGTTTATCTAATACCCCGCCTTCAATGATTGTCAGGTCAAAGTAGTAGAACAGGTGCAGTTAGACTAGCCGAGCATAAAAACCTATCAGCAAAATCTAAATTAGTTGACTCGAATAAGATAAGAAATCTGGAGAATAGCTCAGCCGTAGATAGTACCACGCGCAGTTACGTACAACCATACAATAAGGTGATGGGTTGATGAGATGACATTCTTTTGGAATCTAAGGTAACAGGGTATAGGGAGAGATTGATAACTGACTGAGGCTTTGTTTATCGAATCAACTGCAAACACGTGTAATAGGAATGATTCAACAACTGTCCATCCAGACAACTGGAAAATTCTACTACCCCAACGACGACAAATAGGAGAGAACACAGAAAACTATAAAACTCAACTTTCGAAGTCGTGTGATTATAACTGATATGATTATGAAAAATAAATTTTGTTTGAAATCTTGTCATCCAGTAAACAATAATACTGTTTCACTGTGTGATACATTTAATAAACTAACTAATATGGAAGTACCCAGTGTTGTTAATATTATTCCTCATTTCTCACTTAATTTTTACCATTTTCTAATTAATTTTTATCTCTTATTAACAAGCTTGAACCAATCAAAGCTTATGAACATTTATTAGCAATTCGTGAAGAAGAGCGTTTAGTAACTGAATTAGTCTCTGATGCTGATATTGAATCAACTGAGAAAATTTTACCACATAGAAATTCTGGGATTAGTCCTTCATCTTTAGGTGGAAATGAAACTAAAGCATTAGCGACTGGAGGTACTACAGGCTTGGACTTCACATCAACTTTAAACTGGTCGACCAAAGTTTCTCATCCAGTGAATACAACAGCGGATAGTTATGATTATGATGATGATAAAAATACGTTAACTGGAGGTGAGTATACAAATTTCTGCATATTTTTTTTTAAAAAAAAAACTATTATTGTATTGTGGTGTATTCTACTGTAAGTAGTATATTGTGTGCATTTTTATCTGAAAGAATATTGAGTAACGGAGGGATAGATTAGGTGGTGAAGAGGAGAAATGGAAGATCCTTGAGTGAAACAGTATAGAAAGTATGAAACGAAGATAAAAGCGGCACAATACGAAAGTGATGTGCAGCTGGAGATTTCGGCAACAGTAAAGAATAGATACCAAAGTCAAATGACCTTGAACTAGTCAATCATATCGCTCAGCATTACAAGTGGATTATTAACACTATTGTCTCCTTTATTTTCTAGAGGAACATGACATCCTCCTCGTGTCACCCTCCCACTGACGACCAACTCTCCGCTTCCCATTCGGGTGGAACCCGAATGAAGGCCTGGCGTGTGATGTCGCTTGATGATGGTTTTCTCAGAGTATGATCAGCCAATCCACCTCCATTTCTTCCTGTATATTTGTTGCACATTTGGTTCCTGTTGAGTTGGTTCACTCCCAGAGATCCCTGTTGCTGATCTTCTCTGGCCATCTGGTCTTGATTAGTATTGAGCGAAGACAGTTGTTGATGAAGGTCTGCAGTTTGTTCGAAGTGCCCTTTGTGACGCGGCGCTGCGCCAAGTCTCTGATTCGTATAGCAGCACTGACTGCACATTGGAGTTGAAAATGCTGATGTTGTTTTTCATGCTGAGTGCTGTTGATCTCCACACAGACTTGAGAGTAACGAAAGCTTGCCTTGCTTTCCTCATGATCCTCGCTTTGATATCCTCATCAGTTCCGTCCGCCTGTAGTTGAAACGACGATGCTTCCCAGGCAGGTAGGTAGGCAGGTAGGTAAATGAGGTTGCTTCTTTCAGATTCCTCCCATTCATGCTGACTGATTGTTGTCTGTTGTTGTTGGTGCTGTGTTGGCCAGGAATCCGCATCACCTACCTTTGCTTTCTCCATGTTCACCTGAAGGAAGTCCTATCTTCTCTGGACGCTTCTTCTGACAACTTGTTGCTCTCCACTTGCATATCTTACAGACGTATATCATCGGCGAAGTCCAGATCCTCCAAGTATTTTGTGTGGGTCAATTTTATGCCTGTCTCCTTGTTGCCAACTGTCTGTCTGTCGCATTACCCAGTCTACCGCCTACAATCAAGAAAATCATTGGAGTCAGTAGGCAGCCAGCTTGTCTTACTCCCGTCTTCACTTCTTCGAAGGATTCCATAAGTTTCCTGTTGTGGATTACTTGACATGCAGCATTGTCGTACAACTGTTGGATGAGATGTATAATTGTTGGTGGCACCCCGTATTTGCAAAGTGGATGCTTTTCATAATTTTCGTTGCCAATTTCACCATGATTCAGAGTTAAGGTGAGGATAAGATTAAGGCATGGCTGTGATTTAGGTTACGGTGAAACTTTCAACAAAGATACTGTAAAGAATCCATTTGTAATGCTGGGAGGTCTGATTGGTCGATTCAAGGTCATGTGATCGTGGTATCTATGCATGATTTATATATATTTTGCCATAACTACATCATTTAACAGTTCTACTGCCCAGTACTGCCGTATTGTGCCGTAACAGCACTACTGAATAATATGAATAGGTCATTCTTATGCCCCACCTAGGAAGATTTAGTCACAGAAGAGCTACTTTCAACTATATGGATCAAGATTATGAAAAAGGTACCAGAGTAGAGTTACGCGATCAAATTAGGCAACAGAATTACCAGCTGAATAATTGATCATTAAGGATTTCCTATCTGAACTGTTTATTAACTGTCTAAGTACATTGTAGATCAGCGTTTTGATTTAGTGCAGAGGATTTGTTGTTCACGTGGAGTTATTCAGTGCTGTTGTGTCTCCTGAGCTGAATGGTTTAACTTTAAACCTCTGATTGTCTATCTAGGCAACATTTTCAGCGCTAACTCAACATGTACATTTTGGTTGTATTTCAATTTACAAAGTTTTAGATCTTAATTCTTTCAGTCACCTAAAAATATTAATTTTAGATAGGCAATGTAATGAATTTCCAGATATTTTTCTTTCAATTTTTTACAAAGAAAATTAACAAACAATTTTTTCTCTCTTTTCTCTCTCCTTCTCTCATACACTCTACTCATAGATGAAATCACTTCGATAAGAAAGTCAAGTGTTGGAGAAACATTGGCCGATTTAGAATATTATCCAATCAGTCCACTACCAATATGGAATTCAGAAGATGAACTTGAATTGTTAGTTAATGATTGTCAAGAACGCTTAGAACAATTAAGAGAGAATACTGATGAAACTGGTAAACTGAACGACGAAACATTGGTTAGGTAAATTATACTTATAGCATTTGTCTCTCTCTCTCTCTACATATATACGTATGTCAAGGAACTTAGCCCTAAGTTCCTATCGTAATGAAGACTTAAGCGATTGAGCTGATAAATACTATGCGCTTTCTTCAACTTTAAATCCAAAACACCAGTATTCCTTGAACGAAATTATATTGTTTGGCAATTAAATTGAAGAAAACTACAAAGTCTGCAAACAAATGTTAAGTACAAATGAAGTTATAAAGTACTTTTATTCGTATTTAATTCCAGTCTTCTTTCAACTTGCAAGAGATCGTTCCATTCGCGCCTTCAATTGCCTGCCAATGGCTGCCAGACCCAGTAAAACAAACGTTCAATGTTCACGTCCATTGACAACGTATATGATTTAAAGTAGTATTGTTATTATTATATTGATTATCCCTTATGTCGACGAATTACTGAGATAAGTTCACCGAAGACTGAATTTGAAACAGTTCATACTAAAATTTTATATAGGTCATTTCAACACTGAATCAATGTGTGTGTGTGTGTGTATTTGTTTGACAATAACCGTGAATTAACTCATCTCTCATCGGCTTCTGAAGCTTATTACATTATGATCAAGTGTTTATTGTGTATCTAATCCTACAGGAGGTTAACACTTGCCGATTTTAGTAGTACAGAACAGCGTAAACATCATAACTGATTAAATTAAATCCTTGAAATGATGTTAACTAGTGTTAAGAGTACTCACCTGACTGAAAGTCAGTTGTAACTACACTCGATTAATCGGCAACTAAATTGTTAATTCCTCTAAAACAATTTTCCTAATTCTATCATATGATTTATTTTAGTATTGCCCCATAAAAAGATGTAGTGAATTAGCTAGTCAACAGACAGTGTTCTTTTTTGATTGGAAAATAGTCAGTGACTAGTGTAATGTGTCTAGTCCTATCTCTGGCGAGCCATCTAGTGGCATGATGACCACATTGCAAGCTTGACTGATGACAGAATTCAGTCTGCTATCAACCAAGGGACGTGTATACTGCTCAGCAGTTCGCTCCGTCCTTCTCTATGGCTCTGAAACATGGCCAATAAGAGTTGAAGACATGAAAAGGTTGTCTGTGTTTGTTCATAGATGTCTACGACCTCTTTCTCACGTTAAGTGGCATAATAAGGTAAGTAATGTTGACGTTAGGCGTAGAGTGTTGGGCAAAGAGGGAAAATCAATCGAAGAGACTATAAAGTTACATAATTTGAGATGACTAGGTCACGTGCTGCACATGCCTAACCATCGCCTCCCCCGACGGACGGGCATTACTAGCTGATATACGTGCAGGTTGGTTGGAAAAGAGTAAGTGGTGGCCGAACAAAAACGTGGCCTCATCAATCCATGAAATCCTTAACAGTTAAACTGAGTCAGGTAGGGAGGGAGATGCAGACTTCCGAGTTGGGGCCCGCCCTCGGGACTCTAAGAATCTATGGCTAGAGACAATAGGTAACATGGCTCAAAATCGTTGTCAATGGCTTACGCAGATGTATTCAGTCTCTGCAATCTTTCATATTCCTTTCTGCCATTACTCATTCTGTTTCACTCTTATACTTGTCAAAACTCTATTGATTCTCTTCACTCATCTTCTTGTCTACCTTTGTGTGCTATTTGGAACGTGGCAACTCGAACTGTTGCACTTCGGTACCAAGTTCTATGTTGAATCCAGCCAGCCAGTCAGACACACTACACTAGTTACTGACTAGTGTACAATCAAAATTATCCAATACAGTCCTACAGGAGGTCAGTCGAGAGCCTGAGTAGCTCAGTGGTAACGTGTTTGTCTCCGACTGCAGCACTGGGTGACAATGCGGGTTCGAATGCCAGAAGAGACATGATTTCCTTCGAGGTTGCAGATACGCCTTCCTGACTGACGAGTGCCGACTAGCATGAAACTTAGGTTGAGCAAGGTTTCCTGTGGTCGATTGCCTCCAACCATCTAAGACAGTGTTCTATCATAACTGAGGGGATGTTTTTAATACTGATGTTCTGTTGAATGATTAAAGTTGAATGTAGGCAGGACTTTCTGAAACCGACTTTATGGAGTAAGTACTTCTAAGTTGTAGTACCAATATGGCAGCCTGTCGTCGGAATGGAAGTTCTGGCTTATGGGTGCTTATCCTGACTGGATGTTTATCGTAAACTAGGCACCCATATGAATGACCTGTCTGAGAATGATTTATCCAGATCGACTTAGGAGGAAGTGAACAACCCAGAGGGAAACACAGAAGAGAGATTGCAATAAGAGGTTAATTCGCCATCTTGACATTTCAGTTTCAGCATCCACTTTGCTAAATTTACTATTTTAAACTAATGAGGGAAACGACGAGTGAGTCGTCGGTGTGAGGGTGACATGGGGGAGATAGTGCGACAAGGAGATGACAGGATATAGACAATCGTGGTGCCAGCCAGATGAAGAGGACAGTAGAGAATAGAACAAAGTGGAGATGTGTTGTTGAAGCCCTATGTTCCACTAGGAACCCAAGGGAACAATAATAATAGTAATATAATAAACTAGTCAATCAATTATAAATGCTTAGAGTACAGATTTTTCGAATTTCCGAAAATAATTTCAGTGCCGAGTGAAAATGAATCAGAATAAAATCATCTAAAATAAACCCTTTGTGTTTGAAAAGTCAGAACAAGATTTTTCTGAACATTTTGCAGTTTAAGTCACAGCTCTTTCAACAGAAATATTCGACATTTTGAATGGCCACCAATGACTACTGAAACGAGATAAGTAGGAATCGCGCTAAGTCATGAATTGGTAGAATTAGAATTCATGAGCCATTGAATCGAGTCCCAGTGGCTGAATGGTCTACGAACTTGCTTTGTAACCGGAAGGTCCTAGGTTCGAACCTCCTGTAGTGGGTGCGTACTGCCGATGATTCCCAAACTAGGATGAAACAGCTGTCCAGTACTCCCTGGTTTTCAATGGTTCTCTAACTGAAATCAATCCGTGATCAATTCGTAAAAACATAAGTAGTATAAAATATTTACTATATTAATTTCAATTTATGGTTATTATTATTAAATTACAGACTGCTTATTCAAAAGCTCATGTCAAAACCATGTCAAAATCAAGGATTTGTGTTAGATGGATTTCCGAAGACACTTGAACAAGCTGAAGCTTTATTCAGACGTGAGTTGAATTTTTTTATTCCTTTGCATTCCAAGTGGAACATAGGGGGCTTCAAGCTAGAGGCTTGAAGTTTCGGTAGCAGTGGTGTTTATTTTTACGGGATGAGGTTCCTAGCCTCATGCCCAACCTTCCCTCTTTACCAATCTTATTCCTAGCTTAGCGACTTGGAGTGCGTCCATGACTGGGGATCGAACTCCGAACCACTTGAGACGTGGTCGGCGAGCATTCTACCACTGTGCCACCGTCTCACGAGTTGAATTAAAATTAGACTAAATAACCTCAGCATATCTCTTAGTACTTCTTACATGAATTAGCAACACTGGGGTCTGGTTAAATTGACACAGCAGGTGGTAGTTACTTAAAAGAAGTGATGGAGTAATGTGGAGCAGACGACCAGTGCTGTGAGATAAGGTTTCGAACACAATCTATTGTTCATAATCAAATCATCAGTTATCATCACACAACTTCGAAACTTGACTTTTATAGTTCTCTTTCTTCTCTCCTATTTGTCGTCGTCAGGGTAGTAGAATTTTCCAGATATCTGGGCGGACAGCTGTTGAATAATTCCTACTACACCTGTTCACAGTTGATTCGATAAACAAAGCTTCCGTCGTTATCAATTTCTTCTTCCACCCAGATGTTTCATTAGATTTTGAAACTGTCATCTTATCCCACCCATCCTATTGTATGCTTGTATGTGTAACTGTATGTAGTGCTGTCTACGGCTGAACTATTCTCTAGATTTCTTATCTTATTCGGGTCAACTAATCTAGATTTTGCTGCTAGGTTTTTATGCTCGGCTGGTCTGACTGCCCCTGTTTTACTAATTTGACCAATGTATTTGATCCGACAATCATTGACGGCAGGGTATTAGATAAACTAAATAGTTTTGTTTAATGTGCTGTTCCACAGGATTGATCGCTTAACGGACAAAGCATGTTTCTAATTGAGTTTGTGGGTGGTTTGAATGCCAGCCACTTTTATTCCTGCCTGGATTGTTAAGAATTCTGGGTAAGGTTTTCGAGGTTCCTTCTTTGTATGGAATTACTACTGATGATTTAGATTCCTTATTGTTGGTTTTGTCTGGAGCATGTTATTGTATACGTGGATTTGGAAGTGCGGAATCAACTTTGATGGAAATCTCTCTTAACCTTGGTCCATAGTTGTTAATTCAGTCCTAATAAGTCAACCAGCGCCTACTTATATGGATTAGGCCGACAATTTGCTAACCTTTCACTTTTCTTCACCTATATGTTACATTTGCTGAGCATTATTACTCATCTAAATCATGTGTATCTACGTCAATAGCTCAGAATCAGACTCTGACAGAAAATGTTTTATTACATTCCTTTAGATAGGTTTAGTGTGTTGACGTTTCTCAAGCGGTTTGATAGATTTAGTAGTGTAGGATTGCTAGCCCTACGTCCAAACCTCCCTCTTTGCCCGGGCTTGCGACCGGCTAGAAAACTAGCAAGCTAGTTAACTCGGCTCTCTGATCTTAGATACTGTAAAGTTGTACGTCGGTGGCAAAGCGGTTAGGACACACGCCGACCGTGCATATGGTCCGGGGTCCGATCCCCTGCCAACGCACATCTGATATTAGTGGTCGGCCTGCAAAATTTGGGCTACTGATATCATATGCTGAAAATTCCATACTTGTACCAAAAATATGGTGTGGAATCAAGCTATAATAAAAAAGGATTTCTAAAAGACTGCAGAATTTCATCAACAGCTGCCTTCACTGGCTCCATACTCATAATCAAATGGCCAGAAACAATTAGTAACAGGAAACTGTGGGAACAAACCAACCAAGAGCCGATCGCTGAACAAAAAATCCCAATAGGAAGTGATGAGTGGATTGTTGCTGCGACAGTGACATGGAGGAGATCGTGTAAGGAAGAGAGGGTATTGGCAGTCTTGGGGCCAACTGAAGAAGACGACAGAAGATAGGACAAAGTGGAAATATGTTGTTGAAGCTCCGATGTTCCATACGAATCTCAAGGGAATGATAATAATACAATACATTCATTTAGAACACAGTTTTCTAATCAGTTGTAAGCATCTTGAGTCAACTGAATAAGAAACAAAGATATTTTTAATGGATTTCTTCAATGGGATTGTTTTGTTTTCAACTCAATGAATTCTTAGTGTTGGGTTTGTAGGAAATTGATTTCCATTTCAAGTGAGCTTTCATGACAAACAGACTAGGAAACACTGGACAGCTTTTTCATCTTAGTATGCAGTCATAACTAAACCATCAATCCTATCCAGGATGTAGGCAGGAAATGATAAGACCGTACAGAGACTGTTGGAATCTAGTTATAAGGCAGAAAAATATTTGACTTTCTGTCAGCGAGTCATTCTCACCTTTTTTTCCTTCACGTTCCACAGTGGAACATAGGGCTTCAAGGTGATGGCTTGAGGTTTCTGTAGTAGTGCTTATTTTACAGGATGGGGTTGCTAGCCTCATGCCCAACCTTTCCTCTTTACCAGCATTATTTCTGGCTTAGCGAGGTAAAGGAGTGCGTTGGCCGGGAGTCGAATCCCGGATTATGTGCATGATCGGCGAGCGTTCTAAACGCTATACCACCGACGCACTCATTCTCACCTTAGTTTCATTTATGAATTTTTAGTGGATTTTGTTGAATTTTAAGGATAATCCCCATCCAAGTATAAATGAAAACAAAACGCGTGTAGTTCTGCGAAGCATCTCTTTTCGGCGGCGAATTCATTTTCTTAGCTGTACAATTGCAAATATATGTATGTGTACATTAAGTTTGTCAAACAAAAATACAGTTGGTTATGGTTATTTTAACTAAACAGGTGAAGATTGGTAATTGGTAATTTGTGCCAACTCATCACCTTTGTTACTACTCTAGTTCCATTAACACCTAATTTTCTTGACTGATTTTGTATTACGTAACTCCAATTAACAATCTTCACCTGTTTAGTTAAAATAACCACAAGCAATTGTATTTTTGTTTCAAAAACTTAATGTACACATACATACAAAATAACATATATATGCTTTTTACGAGTTGATCACGGATTGATATCAGTTAGAGAACCATTGAAAACCAGCCACAGGGAGTACTGGACAGCTGTTTCATCCTAATTTGGAAATCATCGCCAGTACGCACCTATTGGGGTTCGAACCTAGGACCTTCTGGTTACAAGGCAAGCCAGCTCGTATACCATTCAGCCAATGGGACCCGATGGATAATTAGTTGGTGAGCGATGTTAGAATTCTGAAAGTCTCGTATATTTTCGCCGATTCGAACTTCATAAAAAAGAAAAGGCGTTCAACGAAGAGTTAATCTTTACAGCGATATCATTCACAAACTATACAATCGTATGTATGTAGTAAGCTGTCTTAGCAACAAAAGGAATATTTCCAAAAATGTGTCATTAGAATTGCAAATTTTAGATAACAAATTGTGTAATGTAGAAAGCGTTAATCGCGGCTGTGGCATAGCGGTTAGGACGTTCGCCGACCATGCACATGGTCCGGGGTCCGATCCTCGACCGCCAACGTACTCCTTTACGTCGCTAAGCCAGAAATAAAAGCTGGTATAGAGGAAAGGTTAGGCATCAGGCTAGCAATCCCATCCTGTAAAAATAAACACCACTTTAACAGAAACTTCAAGCCTCTAGTTTGAAGCCCTGTGTCTCAATATGAACGTGAAGGAAAAAAAAAAGAAAGCGTTAGTCGGGTAGAAAATAAAATAACACTAAATGAGTAACTTGAGCAACATAATAGAACTGACGGGGTTGAATAGGATTCACCTAAAGTATGAACGAGAGGTAATATGGGGTAGAAATTTAATAGGGGTTGGGGAAAGAAAATAATACAATTAAGAAACAAAACAATTACGCATCCCTTGTTAAGATAGATCAGGTCCATTGTAGATTTAATGACTGAACAAAGCTCTTTTGTATGCAGAGTTCAGAATTTAACATGTGAATCGCCACTGCTTCTGCGCTTTTGGGAAGTTTGATTTGAACTGTCATAGCAAGATTCCTACATATTCTGTAGTTGACTTTGAAGTTTCTTTGTAGGTTAGTTTGATGTCCGGATTCGATCAGGTGTTGCAGGATAGAGCTGTGGCGGCAGGTGGGATCTGTTTTCTCCTTCATATAACCACGAAGATAAGTGTTCGGTGATACGCCTGGATAAGAAACACTGAGTACAGACGACATACATTGCTCCACAGGAGCAGGTGAATTTATTGATAAATACACAGTGACCAGGGCATCAGTTATAGCTTAACCTTAACGTTCATGTGAATCATTGGTTTCGAAGAGAAAGCTATTCGAAGTACAGCAGCGAAGAAGGTTTTCTTTAGTGAATGGGACAGGTGGTTTCTGCCAATGAGTCTTTATTGAAATGTAGATTTAGGTACAGAAGTACTATAGGAGCAGAAATTGTGGACGGTTTCGGCTTCATTATGGGTAAAATTTATATTGATAAAGTCTCACAATGTTATACAGTAGTATTTACTGATCACGTTTCAAGCACAATTTATTGCCGCTCATAATCATATCAAGGTACTCACACAGCTTTCTAACTTCTTTTATATAATTCCATTATTTTTCATGGCTTGATTTGATTGGTAGTAGTATTTTCCACATTTCCGGTATGAGTGATGAGTCATTCCTATTGCTTGTGTTGGATGTAGACTCGATGAACCAAGCAGGATTCAGTAATCAACCTCTATCTCCATCAACCTGTATGACTTCTTAGAATTTTAACCCTCTCCCACCCTATTGCATGCATTAACACACAACCACACAATAAGGTGGGGGAGAGTTTATATGTAATTCTGTTAGAACTGTTATTATTTTGTGCTAATTATGGAAAGAATAAATTAGTCAATCAGTTTTTAAACTTTCTGTTACTGGAGGATACCTAATAATCATACTTGCTCTGTAAATTGTGGCTATTATCTGTAGTTAAGAAAAGGGACTTTCAAATTATTATTATTTGAAATAAAGGCAAACGTTTCATTAACACACCAGACTTCATTGTCACTGAAATTGTAGTTTATAAAGAAACCTTTCTCATATAAGTATAAAACTTGGGCATTGTGCTGGTAGAGTATAACTCCATCATGGATAAGATTTTATTTTGATAACTAACACACACTGTTTGTTATACGGTAATATTAACTGATGACGTTTTGAGCATAAACTATTGCCACTCATAATCATATGAAACAAGCAACAAAGGTTAATAGAGCAGGATGATTTAATGAATTCATCAAATTTCGATAGAACTCCTCTTCAGCTGAATACTCTACATACACGGATATATACACACTATTGAAATTACATTGGGAGATATAAGACTGATAAGCACAAATAAACTACATTGAATTAGTCATGCAGAAAGACAGGTGGGAATGTTTTTCCAGGTCACGTTCAAATAGATAAGGGGAGAGAGAGTATGAGAGATCAATATTAAGATAAATTGCATTACGCTTCAATTACATCACTTAGATAAACAATCAATCATTGGAGAATATAACAAGAATTGCAAACAGAGTAATATCAATAGTAATAGTTATAATAACAGTGTTGAAGTGAGTTAAGATAATCTTACTGATAAAAGATAGTTTTAAATGAATCAAGAATAATAAAAATAATAATAATAAAAGGTAGAATAATAAGTAAAACGTATTACCATGGGAGATTCAGAGTCACGACCATCTCCTTTTGTACACAGAGACCTGGTTTATAAACTCTAATTGCACAAGCCTCCTCCACAACTGCAAGCATCTTCTTGTTTCTTTGTCTGCTGACAATAACAGTGAATGACTTGACAGCGTCGATATCATGTCCATAGTGGATAAGATGCTTTGTTATTGAAGATTTTGGCACTTTGCACTCAGCTGTTTTCAACCATTTTGGCAAATGCTCCATCATGCAATGGAGTAGACAATTGCCTTTCTGTACGACCTATGTATTTGCTTCCACAAACACACTCAAATTGATAATCATATGATATGATTATGAACAGCAATAGTTTGTGCTTGAAACGTGGTCATCAGTTAATATTACTGTATAACAAACACTGTGTGATTTATCAAAATAAAACCCTTCTCATGACAATTTTTTAAACACCAACCATGCTAACGAGATAACCTAAATCTAAGAAGCGCTTGAGTGCATTTTAGAACTTGCCATAAAAGCATATTTATTGCTTTAAGCATATACATCTTTCCTAAGGTATGTGATTCATGCATTGGTTTATAGTGATGTCATGGAAACTGATATAAAGTTATTTAAATGATTATTATTATTATCATCATAACATTATTGAGGTGAATAAGCATTGATACTAATGACGATGATTTTTATTCTCTCTATTAAAATCTTATTGAAAATTACTGTTTTTTTTTCTATTACAGCTGACCCAGAAGATGAAGATATTCTTGGCAATGAGAAATTTCCATCATCTCATCGATTGATCACACCTGATTATGTAATTTATTTGATGGGTAGTAATGAATTAGTACGTCATCGATTCAACAGACAATCAACAGAGGCTGGTCTCAATCCTGAGCAAGCTTTAGTAATCCCACCATTATGGAAAGCTTGTTTACTGGGTGATAAATTCATGTCTCAAGATGCCGATAAGACGAAACCAAGTGTAAATGTCGAGAATGAACCAGAAAAGGGATCAGAACACTTGGAGAATACAGATGAAAATGCACCAGGTCAAGAGATGACAGTGTTGAAACACTTAGAGACACAGAAGCATAGACATGAACGACGTCTAGAAGCTTATCGTGCTGCAATGGCACCAGCTGCTGCAGCTTTTCGTGCAGCACTAATTGATGAGGCTAACTTACGTAAGAAAAGTGATAGATTTATAGAGAGGTTAAGCATTAATTGTTCTCCTTTTGTTGTTGTTCTTGTTTTTTGATTATCCTCAGAGATTTAACCAACTTGCTGGTGGATAGCTTGTGTGCTGTAAGCTGAGAGTTATTGATAAATGAGGATATTATACAGTAGCTTATTTGATAGTAAACTAAAGCTGTTGGATTACACACACACGTATTTCAAAAATTGTCCCTTTAATTCTTTGCTATTATGCCACAATAGACAGCGTCGATTGAGAGGTGATTTGGCAACTAACTTCGCTATTACGGGGTGCCGCCAAAATTTATACATCTTATTATATATACCAAGGAATCCACAGCGAGAAACTCACGGATTCTTTCGAAGAAGTGAAGACGGGAGTAAGACAAGCTGGCTACCTACTATCTCCAATGATTTTCCTGATTGTAGGCGGTAGACAGGGTAATGCGACAGACAGTGTGAAACGAGGGGAAAGGCATAACAATAATCCGACTTCGCCGATGATATACGTCTGTAAGATATGCAAGTGGAGAGCAACAAGTTGGCAGAAGAAGCATCCAGAGAAGATAGGACTTCCTTCAGGTGAACATGGAGAAAGCAGAGGTAGGTGATGCAGATTCCTGGCCAACGCAACACCACCAACAACAGGCAGCAATCCGCCAGCATGAATCAAAGGAATCTGAAAGAAGCAACCTCATTTACCTACCTACCTGCCTACCTACCTAAATACATACCTACTTCTCTACAT